TAACCGGATATTTCGCTGCCTGGTCATCTCGCCGGCTGGCCGGCCGATCTATGAATACCATTCACCTACTGAGCTTTTGAAGTCCCTCTGTGACGCGATCAAGGCCCATCGGTCCCTTTACACACAGGGAAATATTCTACACCGAGACATTTCTGAGAACAATATCATCATCACGAACCCAGAGACCGCCAACGGCCACTCGGGCATGCTCATCGACCTGGATCTCGCCAAAGAAATCGGTACGCGAAGCGGGGCGCGACGCCAGACCGGCACAATGGAATTCATGGCCATCGAGGTGCTTCGTAATGTTGACCATACATACCGCCATGATCTCGAGTCCTTCTTCTACGTACTTATCTGGCAGTGCGCCCATAACGGGTGGAAACGTTTCAACCGACTGAAAGAAAAGCCGGGGGACAGTCTCCTGAATGAATGGTACACGGGGACCTATATCAAGATTGCTAGCTGTAAGGCGGGTCATATGGGAGCCAAAACTTTTGAGTATCTCCTACGGGAGTTCCCCCCTGAGTTGGAGACTGTTAAACCGCTGTGCAGGACGCTACGGCAGGTCTTATTTCCTATCCACAATGGTGATATCTTCACTGGGACGCCGATCAAGACAGATATGCTATATGACGCCATCCTCGAGGCGTTTGACAAGGGCATAGAAGATATCAAGGCGGCAGACTAATAGACACCACCACGAGCATCCTAGAATTGGATAAAACCTATAGCTACGCTCATGTGGCTTCTCCATAAACTACTGGTTTGATTCCATCGGACATCCTTGCCCTACTATCCCGTATGTTTAAGCACTGCGAGAGAAAAAGAAAACTTCAATCACGGACGGTTGAAGATCAGATTATAACTAGCTGGATTGAACACCGCGCTATGAATTATTGGTTGCCTGCCACAGGGGCCTGAAACCACGCAGAACAGGAAGCTGATATTTAAGGGGCTTAACCCTACGGCAGAAGCAAAGATAGCAGGCCCTCTCACGAAGGAATAAGGACGGGACCGGCTGATGATGTAGACGTAGCTGGCTACGCGAGAACCATCGTTCATGGAACAAGCAGAATATATAACAATTGATCATTAGCATTGACTTCCATGCGCCATCCCATCCCATGGGGACCCTGGGCCGTCGCTGGCGCCGGAACGCCGGGCTAACTATCCACCGCCGCGCAGCCTAGGGCGGGATGGAACCTTGAAGAGGGTCGGATCGCTTTCAACGTCACAATAACATCCCTTCTTATCCTTATATAACTTAGATATTATTATTATCTAGTCCCTATGGCTTTGTATCCTTAGACCTTTGATTATCAGCATAGATTCGTCCTTTTTTTTTTTCTTTATTGGCTAGTTAAATACACTGCTGTCCCGCGGATATCGGGAGAGGACGCACTTCATGGCCGGGCGGATTCTTCTAGGCCTCACCCTCCTAGCCACTTCACTCCCACTTCTCGCAATGGGGGACGCTGCAGTCGTACCATGCATCTCGTACTCAACTGTACCGGGATACTTCCTGCAAGACGATCCCGCGGTTGACCCAAAGACCTTTGACTACGTATGGACGCCTCTCTCTGTTTCAGCGACATTCTTATAACAATGTATATAGGCGAAGGAAGGCTTCGGGTTGATTGATCAAGCTTACGATACCGATGAGACCCTGGATGCAGAGCTGAAGAAGCTCCCCTGGCGAAGATTCGAACATAAAGTCCGCTCCTTGAACAAGCATGCGGCTTCAAATGTTCGGTTCGCCGTTCTTTTCCTGGGTAGACATGGCCAGGGATTTCACAATGTCGCTGAAGCTTACTATGGAACCAAAGCTTGGGATGTAAGTAAAATCTAGTTATCGTATATGTCTGCTTGCATTCAACCATGTACCGACAAGTTTATAGGACTACTGGTCTAAATTAGACGGCGACGGGACGATTACTTGGTCCGATGCCCATCTCACTGAAGAAGGTATCAGCCAAGCGAAAGTTGCTCGGGACACCTGGGCTGGTCAGATGAAGAACTCCATCCCTCTCCCAGAGGTGTATTATACCAGTCCGTTGGACCGATGTCTTGCTACTGCAAAGTTCACCTTCAGTAAACTGGAACTCCCTCCATCTAAGCCATTTATTCCAACTGTAAAGGAGGTAAGTTGATACATACTTGTCGCTACGTTACCTAGTAATGTGGTTCAGATGCTAAAGAAAATTTATAGCTCCTGCGGGAAACACTTGGTGTTCATACGTGTGACAGACGTAGCTCCAGAAACTATATCGAAAGTACATACCCAACGTACAAAATAGAGCCTGGATTTACACAAAAAGATATGTTGTGGGACCCTGAAGTGCGAGAATCAGACTCTGATCGAGATGCTCGTTTGAAGAAGCTGCTTGATGACATCTTCTCCCATGACAAGAGCACATTCATGTCCCTCACTGCTCATGGAGGAGCCATCAGGTCAATCCTTAACGTCATTGGTCATCGTGAATTTGGCTTACAGACTGGGGCTGTGATCCCTGTTCTCATTCGAATAGAGACAAGCACCGATGCCCCCGAGGATCCAGAGGAGGATTTGACTATCAAGATTCAGGGTCTTAATTAATGGATAGACATAACCCATAGAAAGACTTACATTCTTGGCAATTTAAGTTAGGATTTATGAATAGAAAACCGATGTATATGACAACCATCTAATTGACGAATCCATGATGTCAGGAGTCCACCGAAACCTACTTGGATAATGGAACAGAATATTGCAATGGTAAATCCAGTGCTCTATTTTTGCTATGTACAATCCATCGAAGATGGGGAACTATATACAGACACATTTCTCAAAATGTAGGTTCCGATCGACAGAATCTACGAGAATGGTCATTAGGGGAAGAGGCATTTACAAGTTGGAAGCCATGCCGAGCTCGGTCATGAAGCCAAGAGCAACTTTGGCGTGCTCGAGCATGTGGTCGAAGTCGAGGTATTCAACGGTGTCGTCGGCAGAGTGAATGTGTGGGTTGGAGTCCTCGAAAGCGGTTTCGGCAACCATGGATGCTGGGAAACCGTTGCGGTCGGCAGAGGCGTGGTCAGAGCAGGCGTATCCACACTCGGTGTCGACAATTGGGATGGAGGCATACTACATGGTTTGTCATGTTAGAACAGAGAAGGTACGAGTAGGTACGAGTTAAGCCAGTAGGTTATCGACACTTACTTTCTCAACAATCATCTTGCAGAATTGGTTCAGCTCCTGGTTGGTGTTATCGGTAATGAGGCCAAACTGCTCCTGGCCCTGGCCTTTGAAACCAGCAAGGTCCTGGTTAAGCATAGCCTTGACCTGACGGCCATCGCTCTTGTACTTGCTGAAGACAGTCTGGGAGCCCAAGAGGCCACCTTCTTCACCAGCATACCAGTGGAACTCAAGGGTGTTGGTGTTGTTAGCGGCGCGGAAGGCCTTGGAGCCCAAAACTCCTCGGAGAGCCTCAAGAACAACAACGGATCCACTTCCGTTGTCATCAGCACCTGGGGCACGGCCACCCATAGGATCCTCCTGGTTGATACTATCCTGGTGAGCTCCAACAATAACAGTGGACTCAGATGATCCAGGGATAGTGGCAATGATGTTGAATTGGTTGAATTGGTTCTCGATCTTCTCTACCTTGGCACCCTGGGCACCAGACTCGTCAATAACCTTCTTGACTTGCTCCATCAGCCAGTTGGCAGACTCAACACCGGTCTGAGATTCATAGTAACGGTTGTTGAACTCAGACATGGCCTGCAGGTCACGCATGAGGTTCTCCTTGGAGAGGTTGGCAATCATGGAGGAAACCATGGAGGGGTGGGCAATATTCTTGGGGTAGTTGGCAGCCACAGGCTTGGTGGCAACGAAGTTAGTGCCGATTTCATTGGTGATATCAATGAAGGTTTGTCCAGCCTAGGTACGTTAGCAAGAATAGCTTCCTATTTTTGGTTACTAATACAATGGGACAACGTACAGCCCTCATCTTGTGCTTCTGATCCTTGGTAACCCATTGCGTCTTTCCTGGGCCAAGCTCGATCAAGTACTTATCACCTGATGGGCGAACGGGGCCAGCAACAGCGACTGCTGCAAGGGCAGCAACGGCAGCGATAGCAGAGACCTTCATATTGAATTGGATACTAAAAACAACTGAAATGAAAAATAAAAAAGTATGTATCAAGAACGGAAAGAATTCGTATCCTGCCAGCTGACCGAATAGAAGGAAGGAAAGAGAAGAGTCTCTGAAAGGGAGTGGAAAGGTACGAGCTTTAATATCTTTTCCACGGCTTTGAGACGGCTATATTTATACTCAGGGCCATCCCGTGCCTCTACTCACGTTCGGAAGAGAGTAATAAGAAATAAGGCCTAGGAGTGGACTGATGCAGTTGCAATCTGGGGCAGCGGGGCCGAGGAGAGACGCTCCGTTCAGGGCACCAGATCGTCCATGTTACAGAGGATCAACGCCCGCCAGCCACCAGCTAGGAAGGACGTGAAGGAGGAGTTCCATGACCAGGGACACGAGAGCTGTCTGCCAAGAGTGCCCTGATAGGATGAAAAGCGGCTGATCCTGAGTTTAATATCCATACTTAAACTCCGTAAATATACAAGGACTTGTATATTTTTCCGCGTCACTTCCGTATGGACAGTGTAACCAAGGGGATACGGGAGGACTGAACACATTCCCTTGGAGAGTCGAGGGGGGGTATTATTATTATAAGCACTTTATCTGAGAAGAATGTATAAGCCTGTCCCGGGACAATTCCCAGCCATCATTTATCTCAAGCGCCTGTCCTTTGGGGTATAAAAGGCCGAAACAGACCGAAGCGCGCTTCAAAATACTGGGCCTTGCACGGGTTGCGTGCATGAAGCTGATAAGGTCTGGGGTATCGCCGGGGTCCCCGGGATGAAACGTCAGCAAAAAAGCTCGTCTCGCCCCATCCGCGCATCCTTGGCCACAAATGAACCCGGTTATCCCCACCGTCAGGGCCAAATGCCATCACGAGGCAGGCAACAACGCCGTGGTAAGTGCAGAGAGTGGTTCGGCAGCAGGATGTGATGGACGGAGATCAACAAGCAGCAGCTCTTCTGGATGGATATAAACAGCTGGCTGGCCGTGACGGTCATTCAGGAACCACCACGGAGCAAGGCGCTGGGTTTGGAAGTGAAACGCCGGCCCGAAGATCGACCATCGCCTGAAAAAGCCGTCGTTAACCCAGCCGTCCTGTGATTTCAAGGAAATATCCTCACTGCCAACGTGTCTTACAGAGGTATCAACTGCATCAAGATAGGAGAATCGAAAGCTGCAGGACGAAAGATGATGAAGAAGAAGAAGAAAAGTCGAAGTTGAAGTTGAAAAAAAGCTGACGCCCATTTCCAAAAAGGGAACGGAATCGGAGTATTTATTTCACCGTGAATGATTATGTAACACAGACATCAACTCACGTGGAAACCTTAAAGCGAGAACGCCGAAAAGGGAAATATAAAAGCATCAAAAGAAAGACGATGATAATGATAAAAGACATGAAGAAATGATAGAGAAGAGAGACGAAAAGTTGTAGGTGGAAAGGTCGGCTGGGTTCGATCTCAGTCGTGGTCAGCTATCAGCTCGTAGCCGCCTTCGTTTGGCAGCACTCGGGCTATCGTGTACATTGCCACCGCGTTGACCACCATCAGGCACATACTGACGGTGCACAGGATCCACGAATCGTCGAGCTTCCATCCAGGGTAGAAGCGGTCATCGTTGTCAAACAGGTATGACTGTCCATTCATGTCAGCATGCGTCATCTGGGCGTGTTTTGCCCTGAGGGAGGTATATAGATAGGCACATATATATAACAACAAACAACAAGTAGCGTGGGGGCACAGGGACTCACCACTAGACCCATTCCGCCAGCCTGGACAAGACCAATCAGGACCAGAAACACCGTCAACATCTTCCAGCCAGTTTCTCTCATCTGTTTTCCTCCTGCCAAAATCACGACGAAGGCCACAAAGGTCATTCCCTCGAGGACAACGGCGAGTGATATCAGGAACCCAACTGATCGCCACATCGAGCAGAATATCGGGTTGGATATGGCATGGTTGGCGAAAAGGTCGGAGCCTGAGCTGCCGAAGCGATTGATGCTGACTCCAAACATGGAGTTGTCTGCTTGACAGTCTTCATACTTTGGGAACTCGTCGCATCCGGGGGACTCGGAGGAGCATCGTCTCGTCAGGCCGTATGTGAGGTAGAACTGCTGGCCGGAGGGCTGTTGAGGTCCCAGCTGGTATTAGCTACATTGCTCAATATGGGGTGTAAAGAGGTACCAAGGGATGCATTTATCTCACCGTCTCGCTATAGTAACCAAGCCATTTTGGAAGAAAGATTGATACCAGCGTCAACGAAGAAGCTATACATCGTGTTTGTCAACAAACGGCCCCCTTGCCACGCCACAGGTACCGGCGGGAGATGACGCACCGATCAGGAAGAGGAAGAGAGTGAACGAGTAGAGAATGGTCTTTGTAAAGAAGCCCGTGTAGTTTTTTCGCCCTTCCCCGGGCACCAGACGAGAGTCCACGATGGCGGTTGTATTGATAGGTCCTCGAAGCAGCCAACCAACTAGTTAGTTAGAAAAACAAGCAGGCGACGACCAACCCGGCGTCTTCAACGAGTGTCACTGTCTCAGGGCGTGTGATAGACAAGGCTGAGTCCTGCAAGAGAGTCTCGGGTTCTTCTTCTCTTGTTCGTCTACGTTGTTAGGAGGTTTTCTTCGTCCTCCTTTAATGGCATGACGCCAGCCCGCATCATGTGATGCTATACTTCACTACTAAGTCGCAGAAAAAACAAGGCAGAAGTGTTTCTTTTGTCCGAGCCTTCACTTGACTCGATCAAGTGAACGTTAGGCTCTGCTTCTTCCCTGTCATTAATAACGCTGATATAAACAGTCCAGCGTGCCTGGCGGGTAAGCTTGAGGCCTAAGGGCAGACAAGTTGGAAGTAGCTAGTTATATCTACCAAATCTAGCTCCGTTGATAATGCCTCGAGCCTCTTAACAACTCCTATACAATACAATGTGATCGATGACATAGAGATAGACACGGCTTGAGCTGAAATAAAGAACTCGTAAAGTAGTGAGTTAACTAGCTAGAGCCTTCCATTCGCCCATTCAGTCGAAATGAACAAAGAGGCAGACAAGCAGAAGATAGATAATCGTACATTATGCCTCTACCGCCGCTATCAACACCAGCAGCAACCAAAAACCGCCACACAGCATAGTATTTGCATAACTCTCGTCCCCCTATACCGGCTTGCCAATTAGTTAAATTAAGCAATATCTGTGTCTGTGTCTGTCTGTCTGGATCTGCAAGGTACGATGCTGCAAGATAGGAAGAGCAAGAGAGATCAATGAAGAACGCAGGTCAAGAGAAAAAAGCCATTCCATCATGCAGGTAACGGTAACGGTAACGGTATATGGACATGAAAATGAAGGAAAAGAAGAAAAAGGGAGATCGGGAAAAGGTGAAAAAAGAGGGGGCCAACTCAAGAATGCTAAGTTGGCAGTAGGAAGTGAAATGCGGAGAGAGATGTAATTTTCACCCGTTACAGCTGGACTACACCCTCTCATAGTGCATAAGCCAGTTGTAGTATATGCTGGGGCGGTGATTTTCTTATTTTTTTTTGAAAGTCGCGCTAAAAAGAAAAATGCGCGTTTCTTTTAGAGTGAACTCACATCGCTAGGAGGCAGAATGGAGATAGGAAATGTAAAGAAAATGCGCCACCGGATGATCGGGAGAATAGAGGGGAAGCTGAAGATGGGGTAAGGTTGTAGAAGTAGAGCGAAGTGAAGTCAAAGGAGGAAGAGGAGAGTGAGAAAATAATACGCGGGAACAAGAATATGTGGTGGGTATAGGTAGGTCCGTTATAACCAGCCAGCCTCACTTGGGCTGTGATAACATTGCTCGAAAGTCGTCATTCGTCTTATTCCGTGTCGTCGTAGGTTCGGACTGTTTCTGATTCGATTTCTGGCCGTCGGTATCATCATGATGATTAGTCGTTGAGCCGGGCGGTTTGTCCCTCGACGGAATACCTGATCCGCCGCGCTTGACTCCTAATCCGCCTCTGCGTCCGCTGCCAGAAGACTGGTTTGGTCGTCTTATTGGGGCAGAGGGCTGGGTCATCATCTTGCTGCCACCAGTAGTGCCGCTGCCGGATGTTGTGGCACCGCTGACTTTACCCTTTTCCTTGCCAATGGGGATCCTGTCAATCTTATGCTCTGCCTTTTGCTGTAACATCTCCTTTACCGAACCTACGTGGATGAATCTCCCGGGAGTAATCTCGTACCCTTCAAGGGCCAATGAGGCTTTACCTGCATCATGCGTGTCGGCATACTCGATGATAGCACCTTGATGGTCGGGCCGCAGATTGATCTTCACCAGAACGCCGTGTGGCTCTGCAAGAGCACGAATTCGGGTATCGTTCACCGTGTCCGGGATGTTCATTAAGCCCAAGGTGCGCAGATGGCGGTCTCCCTTGCCCTTGCTCTGGCCATCGGGCAGTGAGCCTGGTGGGGGTGAGGCGGTGCTGGTTCCGTTACGTTGAGCGTTAGTGGCTGGTGATTCAGATCGTGAGACAATTGTATTCTGATGGCGTTTGGCTCCGGTGTTGGTCGAGAGCCGAACATTTAGCTCTCGGCCCTTGAACGTCTTTTCGTTCATAGCCAGGGCAGCGGTTGATTGATCCTTATCTGAGGTTAGTATAACTGCTCGATCTAGCTGAAAAAGGAAAAAACAGCAGAGAAAAAGAAAGAAAAAAAAGAAAGAAAAAAAACTTGCTATGCAAATAGCTTACCTTTGTAGCAAAAGTGACGAAACCGAAACCTCTAGTTTCTCCATTCACCTTGGTGGGTATCCTAACTGACTCAACGTCCCCATAGGCGGTGAAGAGTTCAACAAGGTCTCCCTCTGTGGTCTTGTAGGGTATGTTACAGACATATATCTCTCGGCCTTCCTCGTAAGCGCCAGACCGAGCCTGTCGCTGCGACGGGTCAGAGATTTTGACCACCAATTCTAGACCATCACCGAGATCTTTCTTGTCAAGCTCAGTGGCGGCGTATGCTGATGAAGAAGAGGTGAACTGAACATAGCAGAAGCGGCGGTGGGTATTGAATTTAAGTGATGGGAATCGCACTTCGGCAATTTCTCCATACTAAAAACGCATCTTGACGTTAGCATCATGGAAGACAATCGGGACACCAAGGAAACCGGGGGCAGGGAATACCGAATGAAAGAGCTCACGAATATAATTTTCATCCGCTGTGGGCGGAAAGTTGGTTACAAAGATTGTAGTGTCTGTAACTGGCTCAACAGTCACCTGGTTGCCTTCTAGAACCTTTTGATTCTTTGTGCCGGCGGCCAGGGCATCTTCATGGGTATCAAACTCGAGCAATGCAGATCCGGAGTCGCCGGGGAGCATCTGAAGGGAATTGAGCTTTCCACACTATATAATTTTGTTAGTTTAACCTTTTGTTGGTTTCTTTTTCGTTTCTCGCTGGACTAGACTAGAGATATTCGGGGTAGTAGTATCTTACGTCTCGGAAAAACTGCCTAATCTTGACCTGCGGGATATCCTTTGGCAAGTTCTTGATTATGACACTTGCATGCTCTCGGTCTCGGGCGCGTGTTTCTACCGACGGGATGGCACCACCTTTTGCCCTCTTCGAGACTGTGCCATTCACCTCCGGCTCACCCTCGCGTTTCCTTTTACCAGCAAGTTGAGTTTCGTCGGGGTAGTGGTATTGCTGCTCCACGGAATCCGGGTGGGGCCCCACCGAGACCGGAGCATGTTGAGCATGTTGAGCATGTTGGACCTGATGATATTGGTGATTTGCAAGTTGCTGATGATGATGATACTGTTGTTGTTGTTGTTGCTGCTGCTGCTGTTGCTGTTGCTGCAAGGCCTCTCGTTGCCTGCGTTTTGTCAATGCCTTCATGGCCTTCCGAACATCAATAATGGCAAGTTGAGACTCGTCTGCGTCTTCGTAATGTTCACAGTGTGAAATGTAGGCATCCATAATCTTCTCCGGCCAGTCTAGATCTGTCCGTTGCAAAGCCTGTTTCAACACTGCGGTAGCGTAGCTTGGGTTCGGCATCCGTCGGGATGCACTCGCTGAAGAATCGCAGGGCATGAACTTGCTCCATGAGAGGAGTTCCCAGGTATAGTACGCCAGCCAGAACTCGAAGCTGTGTCCGTGGCGGGGGATGAGGTGTTTGAATTCCTCGCGTGCGCTGTCCCAGCTTCCGCGCGCACTAAGGTAGCGAATGTAGATGCGCTCTAGGTGGAAGAGCGGGTCATTGGGGACGGCCTTGTCAGTCTTGTCGCCGAGCTCCTGGACGGATTCAATGGCGGAGCGGATACCGACTTCGGCAACGTCGAGGTCTTCGTCTGTGGATTCTGGCTGAAGTGCCCAGCGGCGAAGGTAGCTGCACCAGGTAGTGTGGACTTTCAAGACCTCGTTGATACCTGCAGCGTCGAGAAGCCCAGAACGCGTGGCTTTGTGCTTAAGCTCGAGAATCTCGGCGAAGGAGAGACCAGCCCGTTCGGCGCTGATGAAAAGCTGCGACCACAGGGCGCCGGACCAGGGACAGTGTCGGGTTGCACGCTCGATCACCGGGATGGGTGAGACACCCATGGGCCCGTCCATGGACTCGTCAATGAGAAACATGACGTAGTCTTCCCAGAGAGTAGCGTCTGTGGGGAAACGGAGGACGGCACGCTGGTAAAGTGAAGTGATTAGCTCAAGGCGGAGTGGCTGTAGCTGCTGCTGCTGCTGCTGCTGCTGTCCCTTTCTCCGCTGCGGCTTGGAGAGCTCCCAGTCGAGATACTCCTGGAAAGTGGTCCACTCGGCATTGGTGTCCTTGAGCTCAATGGTTCTGTGCAAGGCGGCTTCACGCGTCTCGCGAGCAGCGTACATAGCCTTTGCCTCGGCAGCCTTGCTCCTGGCGTCGACCATGAGGTCCTCGTAGTTGGCGTTGTAGTACTTGGAGACGAAGTTGGAGAAGAGTTGGAAGGTATCGTCCCAGCCGGCGTGCGGTGTCTGCAGCCTACTCTCGAAGAGCACACGGAGCTGGGAGACTCGTTCCTGCGAAGGCGAGGCGTCGACGTCCTGCATGAGTAGCTCGAGGTAGCGGTTCCAGACGAGATGGCAGTCATTGATGCGCCACTTTGTAGCATCGGCACCGGCCTTCCACACCTCGACGACGGACTGCCAGGTGAAGACCTCGCGGCCGATGATCCTGTCCTCGTCCGACCAGTGGCCGCGGCCGGACCCGTCTCTGTCACCGGCGGAGGCCTTGTAGAGGTAGAGCATCCACTCACCGTATATGACCCAGAGCTTGGTGCTGCCGTATTCCTCCTCGACGGAGCGGCGACAGAGCTCCATGACGGCTATGCGCTCGTTGACGGTGCGGGCGAGCAGGCTCTCGTCCTGGATCCACTCGGCCCAGAGATCCTCTCCGATGGCGAACAGGCTGTCGAGCTCTTCTCGAGCAGCCTTGAGGTCCTTGAGCACGTCGAAGCGGTGAGGATCGCCGTGCGAGTCGGGCGAGGCTGGCGGGTAGATGTGGTCGACGAAGCCCTGGTGCAACAGACGGATGAAGTTGACGCGGTCCTCGTAGGCGTAGTGGTTCTTCTGGATGTTGCTGTACAACTGGGCGGCCGTCTGCTGGGCCTCTGGACTGAGACAGGTGCCACTGAAGTCACGTCTGGGCGCATCGGCAACGGGTTCAGCAGCACCGTCGTACCCAGACGGCCGAGGAGTTGGCGTGTTGTGTTGCGCAGCGGCTGGCGGCACGATGGGGAAGGCAGTCGATGGCGACGGTTCCGCTCTCTTGATGTGCGCAGCCTCGACGAGGGCGTCTATGCCGGGCGTAGAGGGAGTCTGTGGGCCCCGGGCGCTGTTTGGGGTGTGTATCTGAGCCTGTGGTGTCTGTGATGCCTGTGTCTGCGTCTGAGTCTGCGTCTGTGCCTGTGGTTGTGCCTGGGACTGGGTCTGCCTTGGACCTGTCCCGTTGCCATGCACGCCTCCACTGCCAGCCCAGGCCGTCTGCGGCGTGTTCCCCCGGTGCGAGCGAGGGCGAGGCGACGGCACAGGGGCTGGCGAGCGGACAGCCTTCTCCTGCCTGCTGGAGTTTGGCGTGATGAGGTCCCTGATATCCATGGCTGCAAGAGTCTGCCGTGGTAGCCCGCCGAGCAGCAGCAGCCGTAGAAGAAAGCACGGAAAGCAGGGAGAGAGAAAGGGAGAAAGAAGACGAGCAAGAAGGGAGGAGGAGGAGGGAGAAGGGGAGAGAGGATAGGGAGTGGCTGCGAGGGACTTGTCAGGCTGGCCGAACTGGATGAGTGTCAGTAGCAGCGCTGGAGTTCCATCGCAACCCGGGGGGGGGGGGGGGGGGGGGGGTCCACGCCTTTCCGTGCTAAAGACACAGCGGCGTCTTCAACACCGATCCACCACCACGAGGCCCCAACTAGATAGGCGTTTGCTCGCCTCGAAGACGGCCAGACACGCCCAGAGAGAGAGAGGAGAGAGAGAGAGAGAGAGCTGGTCGAGCAGTCAGTTAGCAGGCGGACGGACCCAATGCAGGAGAGAGAGGACTCGGGACTCACGACGGGGCGAGAGAGAGAGCGAGAGAAGAGCTGGCGATCAGAGCGAGCGTCGCATCGTCGGGCCAAAAGCAGACGCCTGGGAGGAGCAACGAAGAGGCAGCAAGGGAGGGCTGGCTTCGAGCTGGCGATGTCGCTGTCGTCGCTGTCGTCGTCGCTTTGCTTTGCTTGACGTCTGGGAGGTTTTTCGAGGTTTTGAAGGTCGAAAAGCGAAAGGAAGAAAAAAAAAAAAAGTTGCTTTTCTCTGGCTGCTCACTAAGCAAACAACCGCGAACGAGCTGCGGCTTTGAAGGCTTTCCACGGGCTGGACGGCTGGCCGGAGGGATGGCGATGGGTTGGGCGGCGTCAACCTGATGTTGATTATTTTATTGTCGATGGTTACGGTGTTGGAGATGCTTTTGCAGGCGGCAGGTGAGTGGCCTCGCTGCGTTTGGACTCAGGCTGACGCTGACGGGGGGTTTAGGCAGAGACGGCAGCCAGCATCCCCGGCATCGCCAGCAGCCAACAGGAAGACAGCAGGGAGACGACAAAGACGAGAGACGAGAGACGAGAGACGTCGATGCTAGATCTACCGATGGCAGAAGAGACAAAGAGGTTGGGGATCTAGACCGCGCTTCGTGCTGAAACCCGTCCTGAGGCGAGGCTGATAGCTACTCCGTAGTTATCGCAGCGAAAAAAGTGGCCCTTGGTCCGGCTCCCGTCGAGAGGAAGTCGGGCGGACTGCGTTACATCATAAGAATAACTATACAGACGAGACGCGGAGAAGGGCTGCTACAGACTGCAGACTAGTCACAGACATACATACATATTACGGAGTGCATGCATGCATGAGACTGACAGGCTGGCGCTCGAACGTGCGAGCTCGTGGGCGCTGGTCTCTACCCTAACTACCGACCTCCCTCCCTCCCCCCTAACTAAAGATCAGATCGCATGCTCGTGGCATCCTGTTGGCCTGTCCTCGCAGCGGCATGCAGCTCTGCTCTCCGCGCTGCAGGCATCTTCTCTTCTTCTTGCTGCCCTTTCTTTCCTTTTTCCCGTCCGCCTCCCCTTTTGGGGATCGCTTATATATGAGTACCGTAAGTACGTACTTACATATATATATCGTGGCTGGCGAAAAAGCAAGGGCTCTCTGTGGCTGCATTATCACCTGATACGCCACTGACGTCACGATCTCAGGTCGACGAGACGACGGACGAGACGACGAGAGGACGAAATGCAGATGAATATAATAAGAGTGAGGGAAGACAGCGAGAGCAGTGAGTGGCTTGTGCTCCCCCCCCCCCCCCCCCCCCCCCCTTTTTTTTCCCCTTCATGCAGCTAAGCGTGGGTGTGACAGGCGAGTTTCCCACGTCAACAGCTGGTCTGGTTCTGTACGACAAGAGATACCCAGGTACAGGATACATATACTCCGTACTCCATACATAATTTAAGGGACGAAAACAGAGACAGGAAAAGAAATAAGTCGATTAAAAGAAAGGGGAATTAAATAAAGGTATATACAGCATCATCCATGATAAATTGAACTATCCATTTCCCTCCAGTCTCTTAAAAACTGTGGAGTGTATATGTAAATAAATATATATTGGTCATTTTGACTGCCGCAGAGTCGCCCTCAAGGCTCCCAGATCCACAAATTTTGGCCTTCCAAAGTGCCTAGCTTAGGCCTTCTTTGGCTTGAAGAGGTTGGTGAAGAAGGCGATGACGACTTTGATGAGCTTGCCGATGCTGAAGTTCATAATTAGATCGATGACCTGCTCAGCGAACTTGGGCCAGTCGGCGCCTTGACCAAGTTTGAGACCACGGCCAATGGCGATGCCTCTGGCAGCAACTCTAATTTCATCTTCATCACGGCCAGCGATAGCACCGAGGCCGGGGATGAAGAATTTGCCGATACCAACGGCAAGCTCCTTAACAACTTGAAGGATAAGCCCAAAAGCCTTTCCCCAGTCGGGCTTCTGACCCTTCGGGAAACATTGAACAATTGCGGCAATCAGCTTGGGGATGTCCAACAGACTGCGGGCATGGACCATTTCGTCACGGGCGGCAATGCTGGATCTCTCGGACAGCAGCATGAGCTCGTTGCTGACCTCACCGATATGGCGGGGGTGGACTCCAGCATCGTTGAGGGTGGTAATGACAGCGTTCAGTAGTTCTCCAAGATCGAAGCGACCGTGGGCGAACATTCCAGAGATCTTTACAATGAATCCTGCGATGTCGAGACCGACATGGGCGACGCCGCCGAGGACTTTGCAGATGATTTGGGCAATGCCACCAATACTGGCAGCGCCATGTACGAGGATACCGTCAAACACGCCAAAAAGATCACAGACACACTTTAAGATGGCATTGATGAGGGCCGCAAGATTGATACCGGCGCCGCCATTTCCGCAGGCCTTGATGATGATCTGGATGGCGACAGTGAGGCTGCAGTTTCCCTTTGAGAGTGCGTCGTGGAGCTGCTTTGCCAGGTCATGGGCATCAACTTTACCACCAGCATGGGCATCCACGACACCCTTAATGGAGGCTGCGAACACCCCGAACTCTGGGACCTTAGGGGGTTTCTGAGGGTCACCACCCTTAGGAGGCTGAGAGGGAGGAGCAGGAGCATCACGGGCCTTGACAGGGGATTGGCGGAGGGACTGGTCACCACATTGCTCTATCGGATGGTTAACTTTTGACCTGGCACTCAAACATTTATTAATTTGGTATCAGATGCTGGACATACTCTCATACTCCGCACATTCTGGGTTGGACTGGCCGGAGCTGGAAACCTCTGTAAGGCAGGTCGCCAACAAGTCGGCACATTGACTGACGGAATGCTCGGATCTGGCAACATGGTCAACTGCACGTGCCGAAGTAAGAGCCGCAAACAGCGGCAGGATAAAGTAGGCGGCCTTCATTTTGAAGGATGCACAGGGTCAAGAGAGAGTGAGGTGGTATTAACGAATGTCAGCTAAAGAAGGAAAGATTAAAACCCCAAGCTCAACAAGGGAGTATTAAAGAATGACAGACAAGAAATTGAAAAGAGAGTGAGAGAATGTGCAGTGAGACAGCCGACTGATGGGGTGTAAAGAAGGAAAGGAGAGAAGAGAAACAGGCACTGGGTTGAAGACCTTGTCGACATTTATATACCCTTCCGTCAGGGGGGATATCTGCTCTCCCGCGACAGTCCACAGTCCACACACAGTCCACACAGTCCACTTCCAACTTGCCCCTGACATCTGACATCAACCATCTCATCCGAGCTGCCCGAGGGTCTTTTTCTCCACGCGGAATTTTGTGCCTTGCCCTACGGAGCAATATATACCACTATTTGAGCCTATCCTGGCCGCCTATGAGGAAACATGCTGTTTCCTTTCCTACGGTTTCCATGGAACGGTTCTGCTCCGTCCACACTAAGTAGTACAGAGGCTACTACACTAGTAACTGTGAAAAAAAAAAAAGGCAGTTCCTTCGCTTTGAGTTCACATGGCATGGCCGCCACGTCGTCGATCATTGATCGTTTGCATGGATCCGCCGCGCGAAAATGCTCGTGGTCATGGAAACCTCCCTACTCAACAGCCGAGGCCAATATTCTTGATGATAAACACCAGGAATAACGCAGGGAACTGTGTTGTAAGGGGGATTGTTTCTTTATATAATTGTCATCCAGCAAGAAACTTGCTATCCAGTACGGAGTACTCGATGGAAAAATCTCATACATGACACCTATAGTAGTTGAAGAGTATAGCCATGCATCAACGCAAGGTGGAGGAACTCAGGCACGTTGACCTGCTAGTTTCACGGCTGAGCGGACCTCATGGACTGCTTCGGGGAAAAGGGAGCGCTAAACGTAGCGAGCTTATGCAGCGCTAGGGAGGGTCGAACCCTTGGCAGGGACACTCAACGGGTCGAATCAGCACGTCCATTTCATAGACATCATGGCGTAAGTATGGGGTCTTCTGGTCTCAGATGCGGGTTTTCCCCCTGACGAAACAAGCTCCAGAGTTATCTCGCGAAGGATGAGGGGAGCAACTCCATAGCTCAAAGCAGGTGACAGACTGCAGTTTTGTTCGCCATAGCTCGGCAATGAAGAAAATCCGTGCAGCTGCCCAGAGTTCAGGGGGAAAAATTACTTAAGCTATAATGATATATGTAGGACAAATAGCCTCGTCTATAGAACTATAGTGCAAAAGATCAGATAAGGGACTAAGTACATGGTTTCCCGGCCGACACACACTACGCCCTCCGAAGTATTCCTCTCTCCGTGTTCAGAGCCCGGATCAAGAGATAATAATAACTGAAGGGAGATAAGCGCCGGGAGACGATCACCAAACGGGCGTGATAAGAGCAATCGCGGCTGTACAAAGTCAGTCTATCGAGCTCCGTGACCGCCCGAAGCGCAAAAGCATGTGAAAACGAAGAACCACCAGCCCATCGGACGACGATCGCCAGGCAGTGCAGTAGACTAACAACGGAGAGCCAGCAGCCTCCCGGCGTTTGACGTTCACGAGGCGGAAAAGTCTCTTTTCTCGATATCAAAAAAATGTTGGAGCTAAAAGAGTTTTCACGGTCCCGCTGATCGACAGGGATATTGCCTAAAATAGTATGATTGCCGGAAAAGTTTCCGGAAAATCGGGTCAAAGGACCGAGCACGTGTTTCCTTATTACTAAGAGATTAGTAACATATAAGCTGAGTCAGGCCTTAGCTAAGGTGATTACACGTGACCGATAACCGTCGGAGGGAATATTGTTTGACCGACTTATGTAAGAATATTAGGTTTTCGAACTTTTAAAGTTTATCAGATTAAAAAAAAAAAATAGCAAATCTAAAAGAAATATTATTGAAAGCAGATTTAAAAAAAAAAAACGACGACCTTGAGGAGGAGGAGCTTTACAGGTCGACGGCTGAAAGTGATTCGGAATATAAGACGAAGGAGAAGAAGCAGGGAAAAAGAGGAAAAATGGAGACAGCACAGGACCACGCGAAGAAGCGGAAGCGAAAGCACAAAAGCTCGGAAGGGAAGAGCGCAAAGCCGCACCAGCAAGAGCCAGAGGCGGTAGAAGCAGAATCACAAACGCCTACCAAGAAGCAAAAAGTCGACCAGCACGACGACGATGGCGAGCAGCTTGACGGCGAACACATTGAGAATGGCGTTGAGACCCAAAAGGATGTACCTGCCCTGCCATCCGCGGATACAATGGCTCTTCCTACACAGGAGGCCGTGTCGAATAAATTCAGCGACCTTTCGCTGTCAGAGCCAACGGTCAAGGCGATTGCCGGCATGGGCTTTACGACCATGACCGAGATACAGCAGCGAGGCATTCCGCCTTCGTTGGCGGGCAGGGATATACTGGGCGCAGCGAAGACGGGGTCGGGAAAGACGTTGGCGTTTTTGATACCTGCCGTGGAGATATTGCGGTCGTTGAAGTTTAAGCCTAGAAATGGTGAGATCATAAAATCTTTCGGCTCATAAAATATATAGGGTGGTTGGGGTATGCTTGGCTAACGGAACGGTGTGTAGGGACTGGTGCGCTTATTATTACGCCGACGCGAGAGCTGGCGCTACAGATCTTTGGCGTTGCGAGGGAGCTGATGGAGCACCATTCGCAGACGTATGGGGTGGTGATTGGCGGTGCGAACAGGCGTGCTGAGGCGGAGAAGCTGAATAAGGGCGTTAATGTGCTGATTGGGACTCCCGGGCGGCTGCTGGACCATCTGCGGTCGACGGAGGGGTTTGTCTTTAAGAACCTGAAGACTCTTGTCATTGACGAGGCGGACCGGTAGGCACAAGACAAGTTCAAAGTATATGCTGTGAGTGGATGCTAATATGTTATAGAATTCTCGAAGTCGGATTCGAAGACGAGCTACGACAGATCATATCCATTCTGCCCAAGGAGGACAGACAGACGATGCTGTTCTCCGCAACGCAGACGACCAAAGTGGAGGACCTCGCACGCATATCCCTGAAGCCCGGCCCGCTGTACATCAACGTCGACCACAAGAAGGAGCACAGCACGGTCGACGGGGTGGAGCAGGGATTTATAATCTGCGAAGCCCACAAGCGGTTCCTGCTGCTGTTCTCGTTCCTGAAGAAAAACGCGAAAAAGAAGATTATAGTCTTCTTCTCCAGCTGCAACTCCGTCAAGTACTACTCTGAGCTGCTGAACTATATCGATTTGCCGGTGCTCAGTCTGCACGGGAAGCTGAAGCAGCAGAAGCGAACGAATACGTTTTTTGAGTTCTGCAACTCGGCTCAGGGCACGCTTATCTGTACCGACGTTGCTGCCAGAGGTCTAGATATTCCGGCAGTGGACTACATTGTGCAACTTGATCCGCCTGACGACGTAAGTCTTTTTGCGTCTTTTATATATATTTATATGTTTGCATATATGACTAACCGGTCAGCCGCGAGACTATATCCACAGAGTCGGCCGAACGGCCCGAGGCAAGGGCAAGGTTGGGCGAAGCTTGATGTTTCTGCAGCCATCGGAGGTAGGCTTCATCAACCATCTGAGAGAGGCACGGGTGCCTGTGGTAGAGTTTGAGTTTCCTACCAAGCACATTATCAACATCCAGTCGCAGCTGGAGAAGCTGATCAGCCAGAACTACTACCTCAACCAGGTAAGCCTCTTATCTCCGTTTATATCTAGATGATGGATGATGCTAATTGTGTAGTCTGCGAAAGAAGGGTACAGGTCATATCTGCATGCATATGCATCGCACTCTCTGCGGTCTGTGTTTGACGTGAACAAGCTGGACCTGGTCAAGGTGGCCAAGAGCTATGGCTTTACTACGCCGCCGCGGGTGGACATTACGCTGGGAGCGAGCATGAGCCGGGACAAGAAGGTGCAGGCACGACGGACGTATGGCAGCCAGCCGAAGGGCGCGAGATTTAAGCGGAAGCATGACGATTAACCATTACTATTACTATTACATATATAGACGTGATGTTGATGTCAGCGTTTGATAAAAATAAACTTTAGTCTTTATCTTTCTTAGTCAGCTATATCACGTGTCACCCTAATAGAGTAAAGCGTCAAAGCATCAAAAAATAATCTCGATTTTTGATAGAAAGAAACGACGACGAGAAGAAGAAAGAGAAGAAAGAGAGAGAAGACAGCCATTGAGCCACGACGAAGCACGATGGTGGCCGTCAGCACAGCCTTTGCCTCGCGGCAGCTCTTCTCGAGTGAGTCTTAATTTTAATATTATGTTAGATGTTAGATGTAGTACTAACTAGCCAGGCATGTCCCGTCGGAGCATGAGCTCAACAGCCCATCTGCACTTCCTCCGGGAGTCTCTAATGGGCAGCAACAGCAACAGCAACGATGATAAAGTCGAGCGCTTCTCCTCAGCAGATCTATCATCAGCCAGAATCTCTCACCGTCCTCCAGCCGTGAAAAAGGGCTCCCTTGGAACCGGCTCTATCTTTTCCGACGGCGAGGTATCGACATCCGGTCCCACGCCTAAACGGCCACTGAAGAAAGAAGGTGAAGACGGTGCTACCCAAGATGCAGAGCACTCTACTGCTCTCGTCGACCGGAACCGAGACACGATATCACGTACTCTGATACCGCATCCTGAACGACGAGCCCGATGGGAGAGAAAGATGGTCATCCGCGCCGTCAAGAACCGCGGCCAACTTACGCGGGAAGAAGTGATTCAGCAGAGTGAGCGAGAGCTGCAGAGTCGATCGCACTGGTTCAAGACGTCGGTGAAGAAGTTGGGCCCTCTTGCAAGACAGATTGCAGGCAAGAAAGTCGAGGATGCGATCATGCAGATGAGATATAGTAAGAAGAAGGCGGCGAGGGATGTGTTGGCGTTTCTTGAGCAGGCGAGGAATGAGGCTATTGTTAGTCGAGGGATGGGGATTAAGTCTGAAGAAAATAAGGGTCAAGAGGTGGAGATCAAGTTGAAGGATGGCAAGAGGTATACTGTCCGGGATGAGAGGGAGATATATGTTGACCAGGCGTGGGTGAACCGGGGCCCTTATGGAGTGGACTTTGACCACCGGGCGAGGGGACAGATTAATAGGCTGCGTCCGCCGTACACTGCGTTGGCGGTGGTGTTGAAGGAGGAGAAGACGCGGGTGAGGGAGTGGCAGGATCGGACGGAGAAGGCACTGAGGGAGAGAAGGGAGAAGTTGTGGGTGCAGATGCCTGACCGGCGGGTTACAGGGCAGAGCCAGTACTATTCTTGGTAATACTTTACTTGTAGGATATATTATGTATATTAGAGAGAGAATGCAATGATTATCATTCAGTCTTAAAGTAAGAGAGACAAAGGACAAACAGATGGAAGTGACAAACGGAACAGTATCAAACGATATCAAACGGGTATCAAACAGTAGAAAAGAAGAAAAGAAGAAGAAAAGAAGAAGAAAAAGTGATTAATTGTCATGTTTGGCTGGCTTTTTGGATGACCGTCGTAGATTAGGGAGTATCTCGATGTCAGGGAAGAAGGGTTCCTGGTTGTTCTGGACCAAAGAGAGAAAATGTAGTCGGAGGTCGTTGATGAGCTGTCTGATCTCGTCAAAGGACTTGTTGGGCCCCACACAGTCGTGGAGCCAGTCCGGGACCGGCCGAGGGATGTTCTTTGGCGATTTTTTGGAAGAAGTAGAAGTTGCAGCAGGAGAAGTAGTAGAAGTAGTAGTGGTGGTAGTTGGAGGGAGTCTCTCTCTGCGTCTGAGAGTGAGATCAAAGGACTCGACCCCACCCCAGGCCTGCATGTTGGCGATGGTGTCGAGGGCGAGACGACACTGGGTGAAGGGCCACTCGTCGTTGCGGTATCTGGCCCGCTGGTAGTGCTTGCGGCAGTAGTAGATCCAGACGGCGTCGGGGATGTTGACGGTGCACTTCTTGTTCCTCCCGAAGATGTGGGAGATGACTTTTCGGTAGTGGGAGGAGCCTGTCGAGCAGGACTCGTCGAACTGACACTGTCTGTCCATTAGATGAAGTAGTGGAAGTAGAAGTGGTAGTAGAAGTAATAGTGGTAGTGGTGGAGCAAGTCAAGACGAGTCAAGTCGAGATGAAGAGGCGTAGGCAGACGAAGAAAAGAAGAAGAAGAGGAAGAAGAAGACGAAGAAAGGGGTATTTCTATGTTGAAGAGAGAGAGAGAGAGAGAGCAAGTCCAGAAGTGAAGACGGGAGGACAGCAAGCAGCAAGCAGCAACACAGAGAGGGAGGCAGGGAGAGGGAGAAGTGAGTGGAAGCCATCAGAGCAGGACATCATTCACTGACTGAAGACCAGACTCGGCAAGTCCCAGTAAGAAGAAGAAGAGAAGAGAAGAAGAAGAAGACTGACCTGTCAAGAACTGTCTTGAATCTGTGTCCATCTTCTATCTTCAGTCAGTCAAGAGTCTCTCAGGGTATCCAGCATCCAGTATCAAACTGACCTTTATATATATATATCTATATATAAGATAAGACCGAGGGTCAACCATCATATCAACCCTCGTCGACTCTCTCCATCGTCCACCACCCCGAAGAATGCTATCCTCACCACCACCGCCGGGGCTCGGCCAGGTGGTGAGGATAGTTGGTGGAGAGAAGAGAAGAGAAGAGAAAGAAAAGAAGAAGAAGAAGAAGAGAAGAAGAGAAGGAAGGGAAGAGAAGGCCCCCTTTTTATAGACTGTCTGCTGGCTGTCTTGTCGTCGACGAGAGCCAGTTAACCAGTTAACCAGTCGTCATCATCTTCTCTTCTTCTTCTTTGGGTATCTCCACGACTGTCATCCTCACTCATCTTACTCTTCTTTACTCTCTCTCTCTCCAAGTCGTCTCCAAGTCGTCTTCTTCTTCTTCTCTTCCTCTCTACTTATCTCTGCTTAAGTAAGGTTGACTTCCTCGTGCACTTCTGATTGGACAGGAAGAGAAGAAGAGAGTCAGAAGGACAGAAAGATAGAAGAGAAGAAGATAGAGATAGAGAGAGAGATGGAGAGTAAAAGAGTAAGAGAGTAAAGAGTAAGAGATCAGGAGAGTCTTGTCTTCTTTGGTCTTCTTCTTCTTCTCCTCTTCTTCTCTTCTTCTCTTTTGGCTAAGTTAACTACTGTTGACCTTATCGATAGGCACATCTACTTAACTAGTCAAGGAGACATCAAGGATAGACAGTTGGAAGACAAGAGACAGGAGATAGAGATCTTCATCTTCATCTTCATCTTCATCTTCTTCTGTTTCATCTTTTTATCTTTTATCTCTTCTTCTTTTTGTCTTCTATCTCTTACTGTGACTATCTTATTACTACCATCTATCTTCCATCTTTACTTCTACTAGATGGAGACCGACGTCACCGCCTCTTCCCAGTCGGCCTCCTAGACTTCTCTTCTTCTTCTTTTACTTCTTTTACTACTTATATTACTTCTACTTCTTCTTCTACTCATGTCGAGTGTCTCTTCCTCTGCAGACTCGAAGATGCCCAAGGACGACTCTCTGGTCGGTGGTGGTGGTGGCAGTGGTGGTGGTGGTGATGCTGCGACTTCGACGACTTCAACGACTTCAGCTTCAACGCCCCCGACGACCGACCTCCCAGACAAGCCGGTCGACGACTCCTCCAAGCTGCGCGCCTTTCTCTCCATCCTCCGCAAGTAGGCATTCCCACAACAGATATAAGATATAGAGAGAGAAGATACTAATAGTGATAGCTTCATCGGGGTCTCGGACATCGCCTCGGTGCGCTTCTCCTTGCCGGCACAGCTCCTCGAGCCCATTCCAAATCTCGGTCAGTCCTCATACTTCTACTTCTACTTATATATATATATATATATATACATACTTACTTATGGATAGAGTACTGGAACTACCTCGACAGGCCAGAGAGCTTTGCCAGGTGAGATCTTTACTCTCTTTACTCTTTTTACTCTTATTAGATGCTAAGATGAGTAGCATAGGAAAGTCGGATGACGAGCTGGGGCGCATGCTCGAGGTCCTGCGCTTCTGGTTCACCAAGGACCTGGTAGGTCTCTCTCTTCTTTATTTAGTTATTTATTTATAAGAGTATGCTAATTGAGAAGAAATACGTCAAAGGGAAGCCCTGCAAGCCTTACAACTCGGTTCTCGGAGAGTTCTTCAGGGTAAGCATCCATCTACCACTTTCATATAAATTACTGCTACTGACAAGTAACTATGTAGTGCAACTGGGAGGTCAAAGACACCGAAGGGGCAGTCTCGCTTCCCCCAGCCAAGCCAGAATCCAGCTCCAACTCCAAGTCCAACTCCGCCGCCCCGTCCATCGCATCCACCTCTGCCACCACCACCACCACTACCACTTCTTCTTCTTCTCCTTCTTCAGCCGAGACAGTCAAGATATCCTACATCACCGAACAGACTTCCCACCACCCCCCCGTCTCCGCTTTCTGGGTAGACTGTCCCCAACGTGGCATCACCGCCCGCGGGTTCGACCAGATCAGCGCCAAGTTCACGGGCACCTCAGTCCGCATCACCCCGGGACAGCATAACCTCGGCATCTTCATCACCCTCGCCCGCCGCGACAACGAAGAGTACCGGCTCACCCATCCAGACGCCCATCTAGGTGGTCTCCTGCGCGGTGCCCTCTCGGTCTCCGTCGCTGATACCTGCTACATCACCTGTCCACGCACCAGGATAAAGGCTATCCTGCAGTACCTCGAGGACGGATGGCTCAGTAAAGCCCAGCATTGTGTCTCCGGAGCCGTGTTCAGATACGATCCTGACAACGACTGCATCACTCGTATCAAGGACATCCCCGCGACACACCTGCTCGCCGAGATCTCCGGCTCCTGGCACGAACGCATATACTTCAACCTGCCCTCCAACCCAAAGGATAAACAGCTGCTCATCGACGTCACGCCGCTCTTCCCCGCGGCCAAAATCACCCCTCCCCCCGAAAAACAGCTCGCCTACGAATCCCGTCGGCTCTGGGCAGACATCACCGCCGCCATCAACGCCAAGCAGTACTCCCTTGCCACCAGGCTGAAACACGAGCTCGAAGAGTCCCAGCGCTCCAAGGCCGCCTTGCGCAAGGAGAACAACCACGAGTGGACCCCCAGGTTCTTTACCGTCGCAGAACAGCATATCCAGCCTGGCAGACCGCATCTGACGGATGACGGTCGCAAGGCACTGGACAACTTACATCGTGATCTCTTTGACCTGGACGAGAAGCTGACTCCCTCGGGCGAGTTTGCTCGATAAAAAACTACATACTACTTTTTTCTTTGACTTTCGACGTACTCCTTGTATACTCCCTTTAATCCGGGCTCGGGCGCAGGTTCGCTTCGTTCATCTACTTATATAGTTGTCGTTGTTGTCGTTGTTGTTGTCGTCGTCGTCGGTGCATTGTACAGGTCGCATTAGCCATCTGCAGTTACACAGTTACTCCAGTTATAAAAGTCGTTCTTTTGCTCGTTCGTTTAATGAGTTAAGTTATAGTTATAGTTCAGTGTCGTTGAGGCTGAAGAGCCGCCTGGCCCGGCCCGTCCATCAAACCTTCATCCTCCAGCTCTTTTACTACTTGACTACCTTACTATACAGAAAAACAAACTATATACGATTAGTTATATCGTCTACTATGAAGCTGCTTGCACGACTTTGAACCCCGCGGCCACCGTCTTGCTGATCTCCTCGTTCTTATGCGGCAGCAGGCTCAGCGCATACGCCACGTCGTTCCACTGCTTCTCCGTCTCGCACCGCGCCAGTCTCGCCGCCAGCTTGTCCGCCAGCTGTCTCGCATGTTTGTCCTAGACCCTATTAGTATATCTCTAGAATAGACCAAGAATAAGAAAGAAGAATACCTTCTCGACGAAACCGGCGAGGAACTTGATGATCCGCCGCAAAGACTCCTCCTCCAGCGACTTCTCCGTGCTCAGCAGACTAAACATGTCCACAAAGTGGTTGTACACCGCATTGTCCTTCGTCGACAGCTCCGTAAAGAACATCCGCGCCAGATCCGCTATCTTCTTGTCCTCGTCCTCCAGGCACTTCGCCATCTCCCCCAGCTGGCCCTTCACCTTGATCTGGCCCGCCAGTATCAAAAAGGTAAGCGTCATCAGGCACGTCCGCTTCACCGAAACATCGTCGTCGTTCAGTCGTCGGTACAAAAAGTCCGTATTCTCATCGATCAAATGGTTGAAGCACACGGCCATGTCGCCCAGCGCAATCACCGCGTTGCTCCGCACGATCGGGTCGTCAGACCGCTCCATTATCGTGATCAGCAGCGGCAGGTTGCTCTCGCAGTACTCTGCTGACACGCACATCAGCTTCGCCATGCACAGCGTCGCCGTCGCCTGCAGGTTCTGGTCCGGATACGCTGTGTTGTTTGAACATATCTCCGTCACCAGCGGGCCAAAGTGCGTCAACAGCGAGTTCTCCCCGAACAGCAGCTCTCGCTCCCGAATATGTGCCATCGCCTCAGTGAAGTCGTCCTCTGTCGTGCCTCCGATCAGGTCCAGCTCGTTGTCCTCGGCTGCTGCTCCTCCTGCTGCCCCCCCTGCTGCTGCTGCTCCTGCTCCGGCTGCGTCATCTTTCTCCTGAGCTGGGTTGGCCGCCTTCTCCTTTTCTTGTTCGGCCTTCCTGCGCTTAAAGTCAAGCTCGCATAGCTCCAGATGCACAATCTGCTTGATCGCGATGTGGCCAACAATAATCAGCAGCTGCGAAAGCCCGTTAACACTAGCCTTTTGTCTAGCCGCGTTGTTGTCTTCCGCCAGAGTTGTGGCTGCAGTCACTGCAGTCTCTGCCGATGCGGAGGAGGCCGATGATGATGACGGACGGTCTCCCTCGCTGTCCAGCATCATCCTTTGCTGGGCATTGTTGTTCGCCCGGAAGACGGCCCGGGTCTTGCGCCGTAGTATATCCGAACACAGCACATCAGGATGCTTTGCTAGCGTGTATATCGCGCTTATGGCTTGCTCTGCCACACCATACCACTCCTTGCTGTCAGACACAATCTCCATCATCGCAGCCAGCTTGATCAACACCGGGTGGTCGTTTGCCAGTTTTGGGTGTGCCCCATCCTTTGCAATGGCTTGCCGTCCAGGCTTGATCCGCTTTAGGGCAATACATGTGTATTTGGCAAGGACAAGATCAGCCCGTCCCAGGCTGCCCAGCCCTATCCGGAGCATAATCTCGATCTCCTTGACTGCAATCTCCGGGTCGGCAAGCGCAAGCATCCCCAGCACGATAATGGCCCCTCTTCGCTGTGTTCTTGATATTTCCTTCTTCTGTACCCCATACACCTGCCATAGCTTGCCAATCACCAGCTCTGAGATGTGCCCTGCCTTCACCATTGTGCTGAGCAACTGCTCGAGCGATGTAAGCTCTGCCGGCGTCGCTCCAAACGTCAGACTTATCATATTTCGGGCGATGTAGTTGGCCGTGTCATTCGGACTGAATGCATCCGGCGCATCAAAGAACAGCCCCTTGTAGCAATCGATTAGATGGTTCTGAACGCCCTTGCCTTCGTCGCTGTTACCCTTCATCCAAATCAGCCGTAACATCCTGCGTATCCCAGCTCGCGAGGTTTCCACTTTGTACGCATCTAGCATCACAAAAAAGTCCATAGCCTCGATCACCTCGCTCTTATTCCGAGACGACAGCAGTTGCAAGACGGTCTCGGACGCACTGTGCAACACCTCGATAAACTGAATGGCCTCAATGTAGTATTTCCGGGTTAGCTGCAGCCGTGCCAGCATCTCTGATGTTGCTGCTTCCTCTGCTGCTTTCTGAACCGCTGCTGCTTTTTCTTCTTCAGTCATTTTTGGAGCCTTCGAAGGGGAGTCGTCTGGGACCTGGGTTGCATCGTCCAGCAGCTCGCTGTCGATCTGGGCGCTCTCAATCCCCATCTCTGCTAATCCGGGTGTCTCTGGTGGTGGCTTCAACGCGTTGAGTTCCTCCTCTACTGCCTGTAAACGAGCATCCCAATCTTTGTACGACAGCTGGCCCCCATGCATAACACTGAAAGGGTGTGTTGACACCAGCTTGCCCAGAAGTTTTATAGCATTCCTTCGGACATTGCTGCTCTTATCTTCCAAGCTTCGAGCTGCAAGCTTGGCTGCTGTCTGCCGTCTTTTGGGGAACTTCTGGTCGAGGTCACAAATCTTCATGTACACCTGTATCACACGGCTGCGGCAGTAGGGGTTCATGTCAAGGAAGCGTTCCTCCAGCACATCAAAGAAGGAATTTATCTGTGTTTGGAAGTTTTCACTTCGTTCTTCCTGCTTACTCAGGTCAGATATCAGATTTCCGCATACTTCGATGACGGCGCAGCGGAGGGTATAAGCCTGGCAATTGTCAGTAAATGTACGTTGCTATAAATATACGAGACGTACTTCACTATCTAGCTGCTTGGCTAGGAGGGTCATTTGCTTGATGACAAGCCGAGGAGCAAGCTCAGACAACTTAACAATAAAAGCCGACACTGATCTCGGGCCCTTGGTATCATTTGGGTTGAACTCCTTATTTCCAACCTCCCTATAACGGAGTTAGAGCTAAGACCCGTTCGTAGAGACATCAGGAAAGCATACCTTAGAATCTCGTCAGCGAGTTGAGGATAGTCATACTGCTCCGCCAGGATATGCAAAAATTCGGCCATCGGGTCCGAAAGATGCTCAAAATATGTAAGGCTCTGTACAATAGATGTCTGAGCACCTGATACAGTGTTAGCCGCTTTACCACGAAGGCACATTCGTAGTAGAACCTACCAAAAGCATGCCCATGATGCTTCACTGCAATACAGAGTACCTTGAATGCGTGCATCCGTATTGACATGCTCTTGACTCTCTGCTCGCTCTCCAGGATCAGGTATATGGATCGAGTAAACAGATTCACAAAGGTATCCCGGTCCGAGGTTGTAACAAAGAGCTTTGATAGCTTCAGCTTCAGCACCTTGCACATAACCTCCATAGCAATCTGTATCTGTGCAGACGAATCCCACGACTCATCCCTAGCGGGCTTTCGTCCAGCCTTCCCACCTCCTCGTCTTCCCGGCCCCGTTGTAGGAGGTTTTTCGGCTGCCTTTGCTTCCACGGAAGATAACGCCCATTGTAGTAGAAAAGCGTACAGCTCCAAGAGGTCCTTATGCTCAGACAGTGCCTCGGGCTCATCGGCTTCGAGGTCATTGTGTGCAATATCGGCAAGCGAGGCAAGGCCGGAAACAACAAGATCTAAGATCTTGCTAAGCGCCTTCGGAGGAAGGACAGGTGTAAGCCTAGGAGTCCAGCAGTTAGAGCCCGGTCAAATGGTGTGTGTCTATACCCCGTCACTCACTTCAAGAGAAGCTGCAGGGAATCAAAGAACGAGTTTCTTGCGAGATTTGAGGGATCTTCTGCCACAGCGTCCACAATAGGATTCAGGATCTCATCGATCAGCGGCAGATTCAAGGAATCCGGATCCAATTCGCAGTCTAGCAACTGTGAATCCGCTTCTGGTGTCGGGACTGAGGCGGGGTCGCTCAGGTAGTATTTCAGCGCCTCGTTGAGGTCGAAATCTATCCGTTCGTTCATTGTGGCCGGCTCGTCGACATCTATCTCGCGTATCCAGGCGCTGCAGACACTCAGCTCGTGCTGTATAAAATAATTGCGAAAAGCGCAAAAGGACTTGAAGAAGTCGACGAAGCTGATGTTTTGTTTGCTTTTTGCCGTTTCGGGACAAACTGCGGTGGTGTAACGCGTGACGGTAAGTAATAAAAGAAGCCCGCAGATCAACATAAAATACACTATTTGATACGCTATCAATACACTACTTCGGTCTATCAAAGAAAAACATCTTTCGCGTTGACGCCGAAGTTCAAATCTTTTTGACGCTGACAACTGCGAGGCCGTCAACCACCACTTTGAAGCTGCTCTGATACCCGGTGGAACCATGTCGGACTACGCGGCGAGCAATCACTCGCCCCTCGCGCAGGAGACCGGGAAAGATGAGATGAGCGACTGCTGGGACGACGAGACGCGTTCGCTCGACTATGAGGAGGACGATACTGCGCAGGAGGATGACTACATACCAACGGACGAAGCCGACACCGAGAGCGAGCATGAAGAGCAGGACGAGGCTGTCCGGGAAGACATGAGGAAGCTGCAGGACGAGGCAATACTGCGTGGAAAATTCAGACTTATTAACCGCGTCGGAGAGGGTGAGTAGCTAGCCTCTATATGGCCATGCAGGGGATATGCCGATGCTAATGGAGGCTCACACATCACAATTAGGTACATTCTCTACAGTATACAAGGCACAGGATCTGACCTGGGACGAAGGTGCATTCCAGGCCGACCTGCTGGACCCGAGCAAGACTCTCCGTGGAATGAAGAAGCAATACGTTGCCCTCAAAAAGATATATGTCACCAGCAGCCCTGCTCGAATTTTGAACGAGTTGGAGATTCTCCATGACCTGCGTGGGCACCCCGCCGTGTGCCATATCAAAGCCGCATTCCGGCTTGACGATCAGGTCATTGCTGTCCTGCCATATTTCCCCCACACAGACTTTCGCTTGATGTTCCGCACTTTTCTCGTTGAGGATATGCGGCACTACTTCAAGTCTCTCCTGGAAGGCCTTGCTTTTGTGCATAAACTGGGGGTCATTCACAGAGACATCAAACCTACGTTCGTACCTCTTGTTCTTCCATGTCAGCCCTTTTCAACCCCCGAGCTGACAGTTGCCCCTATAGGAACTTCTTGTATAATCCAAAGCTTCGCCGTGGAGTCTTGGTGGATTTTGGCCTTGCAGAGGTGAGTACACAACGCTAGTGTTTTTACAAATAGCCGCCGTGGTACTGACGCATCCACTGCACAGTATGAAAATGAGGGTGGGACCTGCATGTGCAGTACTGCCCGCACACGCGCTTTCGCACCTAAACATGATCAGATAATGGACTCCATCCGCTACTCCAAACAAGCTCCTGTTGGATATCCAAGAAATGATACCAGGCCTTCTCGGCGAGCCAATCGAGCGGGAACTCGCGGATTCCGCGCTCCGGAAGTCCTCTTCAAATGTACTAGCCAAACCACCAAGCTTGATGTGTGGTCGGTCGGCGTGATTCTCCTGACATTCCTAGCCAGACGCTTCCCATTCTTTCACTCAATGGATGATGCTGATGCTCTCATTGAGATCGCAAGCATCTTCGGAAAGAATAAGATGCAACTGACAGCAGCAGAACACGGCTTGGTGTTTGATACCACCATCCCTACAATATTACCAAAGGGCCACTCTTTGGAACGAATCATACGGTGGTCGAGCTCTGTCGTCGAACTGACCGGCAGAGAGCTTCAAGCGGTAAATCTCTTGGAGAAGATACTCGAGCCGAGCGCGATAATGAGGTGGAGTGCAGAGGGAGCGTTATATCACGACTTCTTCAACAACCCTCAGGGCGCTGACCTCCCTTGGGGCGGAGAAGACCCCGAGAACCTGGAACATCACTCGGCCCAGGGCGACGATAACGACGACACTGCATGCGATGCCGGCGACGAGGTGAAACTTATCTAACTGCTCGTTCTATTCGAGTTGCCCTTATTTTTTTATACCTTATCGATAGCTCCAGCTTCGGCGCCCAACCGGGCCGCGCATGACGTCACGGGTCGCCTTGCTCACCATATCTGTGTTCCCTTCCCACCAGCTTCTCTGCAACTCCTCTTCCCGCAACACACAACCATTTGACCTTTGGCAGCCTGGGATACTGATGCTCATACAAAACCATCGGCAGACCTTACTCCCTACAGTCGGCTGTGCCCAAACAAACTACTGCTATTACATCCGGATAAGCTGGGTTGATCTAAATCACCCGAGGGGTCCCCACTCGCACTGCTAGCTTGTCTATCCCTGGTGGAGCAAAGCCGTTCGTTGTTCTTGCTCTCGAAACCCATTTCTTTAAAGGCAACGGTAAGGTGCAGCGCCATTTGGGTGATCGCGGTATTTGTTTGATCGGTGTCTTGATTGCTACCGTCGCTATCGCCATTAGCTTCCTCGGTCTCTCAAGCCAGCATCTTCATTTGCCTTCGGCATTCGTTTGTGAGAGCTATCACGCAATCTCACAATACATAACAGACTGTTTCTTCGATAGGAAACCTGCAACCATGGCGTGGCAGTGTACTGGTAGGTCCAACATTCAGTTGATCGAAAACCTCTTCACTGCCGACCTCATTAGGAGTGAAAGAGTGAAAAATGCAATGTTGAAGGTAAGTAAAGAAGATCTGTCAAGCATTTTGCTTGTTGTTGTCGATACAGAAAGCTGACATTATTCCCGGCGCCAGGTTGACCGTGGTCATTATTCCCCATCCAATCCCTACAGTGATTCTCCCCAGTCAATTGGATACGCAGCGACCATCTCTGCCCCGCACATGCACGCGCATGCCTGCGAATATCTGCTACCTTTCCTCCGTCCCGGTGCTCGGGTTCTTGACATTGGCTGCGGCTCGGGATACCTCAGCCATGTCTTCGCCGAGCTGATCACGGATGCCCCTGCTTCAGATGGCTGTGTTGTTGGCATCGACCATATCCAGGGCCTCGTTGACTTGTCTCTAAAGAACTTAGCCAAGTCGGAAGAAGGTCGCAAATTGCTCGACTCCGGAAAGATCAAAATCGTCAAGGGTGATGGGCGCAAAGGCTGGGCTGAAGGCGGACCCTACGATGCCATCCACGTTGGTGCAGCAGCAGCAACGATGCATTCGGACCTGATAGATCAACTGCGAGCGCCGGGCCGGATGTTCATCCCAGTCGATGCTGAATCTACCACTGGTATGCTGGGATATCAAGGACAGCATGTGTGGATTGTGGATAAGGCGGAAGATGGCTCTGTTAACAAGAAAAAAGTTTTCGGCGTCAGCTATGTTCCTCTAACGGATGCACCCGAGGAATAGCTGGATCAGACGGTAATTTAATTGCAGGACTAGGACATGTAGGGGTTCGACTTGCATTATTCCTTCACTTTTATCCCTGATTTAAGCCTATTTATCTGTATTCAATCAGCTGTAAAGTGGTTCTGCCAATGAGAATGAATCTGTCAGCCAAAAATACCCATTAGGCAAATGAAAGATTATGTATCAATCGGACTTCACTTTTCCATTAGAAGAATCTAGTAATAATCTAAAGAGGAAGAAAAAGAATACAGGACGGTCAAGTGATAGCAAGTACAGCTCAAAATGAATAGGATGCATGTCGTTTAACCAGAGGAAAAGGGCCAGTAAAAAAAAAAGCGAAGAAGAGTTTCAGAAGTAAATATGCAGTTAAAATAAATCATTAGCAAGAGGAAAGAAAGTCTAGAACGGGAAGCCCCCTTGGAAGTCGAAGCCTCCTTGTGTGAACTTGAAGTGATGGTTTCCAGCACCCTGTTGGAAGAAGAACGGAGATCCTCCGTGTCCGCCAGCAAAGGGGTTGAAGTGTGGCTGGCCTCCATGGGGGTCATTAGGGTCATCACCATGGTCAAATCGCCGCCTTAACTCGGGGTCAGAGAGAACTTCGTAGGCTTCATTGATGCTCGCCATTTTCTTCTCGGCTTCCTCCTTGGGTATGCCCTGGCTGCGTGCCTTGTCGGGATGGAATTTCTTTGTGAGCTTGCGGTAAGCCCGTTTGATTGTGGCCTCATCTGCATCGCGGTCAACCCCCAGAACCTTGTAATAATCCTTTTGTTTCGATCGTTTCAGTAGTGTTTGTGCCTTTTGCATGAGCGTATGAATCTCCTGAGAGCCGGAGTGGTGCTCATCCGCGGTTTTCAGCGTCTGGGTGGCAGCTTCGTATTGTTCGGCGTCTATTTGTTCTTCCGCCTTGGACAGGAGACCGTGGAGTGATGAAGGGTTGAAATCAAGACACTGGCTACAGTATGGCCGCGCTTTTCGCTTGGAATTCATCTAGTCAATGGTTAGTAGGCTGGTCTTTCAGAAAATAACACAAAGGTAAAGAACCACATACAGCTCTATATGTCTCGCATGTTTTCTCCACCAAGGAATGATAGAGATTGTTGGGAGCCTTGGGATGAATATATCCATCTTCCTGGGCAGACTTGACGTCTTGCTGAATGTCCTCCAGCAATCCAGTTTCGCCCTTGGTCCCTACCAAGAGCTCAGCGGCCTTGTGGAATTTCCGTGTTTCCAGCAACTTGTCGAGGTTCTTAAGTTGCTTAGAATTCCTCTTTTCGCCTCTGAACAAACGGCTGCAAATCTTGGAGTCAGGGTCGGAGTGAAGACACTTTCGAATCTGGTCCATCCCGCGTTCGGTGTCCGCTAGAGAGTAAAAGAGCATCGCCGAAACCTGGAGATGAGGGTCAACATTGTTTGGAGAAAGCTGCGTAAGCCTGGTCAGGTCATTGATCCCCTCCTGAATGTCTCCTCTCTCGAAATGGCACTTTCCTCGCGTCCGTCGAAGCTCGGGGGAGCCCATGGCCTTCGTAATGGCGATATTCGATTGAGCCACGCATGTTTCCCAGTCCTGTTTCTTTTCTGCCTCCTCTGCAGCCACCGCAGCAACGTGAGCCTCATGGAGCTGAACGAGGTCGCCCTCACCTGGCTTGCCTGCAGCCTGGAGGTCTTCCTTAGCCCCGGTCCAGTTGCCAGATCTCATCCGTAGCTTTCCACGCTGCAAGAGTGCCCCCTCGAAGCCTGGCTTAAGCTGGAGAACCTTGTTAAAATCATCTGCGGCACGAGAGTGTCTTCCAAGGGATAGATAGGCAGCTCCGCGCTGGAATATGGATAGGTAGTTCGAGGGATCCTTGTCGATAGCGGCGTTGAAGTAGAGGAGCGCATCTTCGGGGGAGCCACTGGCGAGATGGGTCTTTGCAGAGGATAACAGCGAGGAGACCGGGGTATCGGGTGGAATATCTGAAGGCTTCAGGCCGTTTGCAGATGAAATAACGGCCAGCAGGAAGGCGACCGTCCGGAATCGAACGATCATGATAGCGGTGCGTGATAAGAGAACAAAGCAGACCAAACGAGAACTCCCACCAAGCGGCCGGGACAAGCAAAATATACCAGCGCAATACGCCACAAGCAAGACTCAATAACCCAAACGATTGACAAGTTAAACAGTTTGAAGGAAAAAAGACGACGACGCTTTCGTGGCAACTTTCATATTATCTTCAAGAGGCGTCCCAAAAGGGTAAGAATGGAAAAGGTGGCTTCATCGGCATTTCGGACATTTAGTTAACCCGAACTTATTGCCGGACGCCCGGAGCTAGTCCTCTTTGGGAGCAAGGGTTATGTAATTATCCGAGATCATGTGATATTGAATTCCTGGCAGTCCTAAAACGGAAAGAAGTAGAAGCAATTAAAAAAAAATAAAGAACGAAGCAATTGCTGGGGATATTTTTTTTACGACAGAGGAACAATATAGGGAGGATATAATAGCCCCTGGAGTGATGCTAGGAAGCTCAACATGGACATGCCTGCGGTGTTTCTCACGAAGTGTACGGCTAGCGCAGTCTAGCAGAATTGTTCCAGTGTCTAGAAGATATAGCTCTGCAGGTAAGTCGAGGTCTCGTCCTTATATCCGTGTCATAACCGGGACTAGAAGCTCACACACCTATAGTAACCCCAAAAGAAGCTGAATTGTCTCCTATCCTGTTAAACAGAGCGAGAGCCTTAGCTGCGGAACATGCCACCCTCACGGCAAAACAGGCAGAGTCCTTCGAGAGGGCTGCTGCAAAACGGATAGGAGAGATTGCGCCAGTTGCCAATGCATTAAAAGACTGGGATACAGCCCATGAGGTATGCTCTGGTATATGCGGCTACAATGTGAAAAATCTACACGGTATCTAATATAATTCACTGCCATTTTCCAGTCCATAACGGAGCTGCAGGGCCTGATAGATGAACCGTCTACCGATACGGAACTTAAATCCCTCGCTGAAGATGATATAACAACAACGATTGGGACATTATCATCCTTATCCGCTACATTAAAACGGGCTTTGATCCCTCGACATCCTTTTGCCGATATGCCGTGTCTGATCGAGATTCGTCCGGGGGCGGGAGGTGACGAGGCAGGGCTATTTGCTGCGGAGATGCTCCGCATGTATACATCGTTCTGCTCTAGCCGAGGCCTGAGAACTACAATCATAAAAATGGAGGCAGAGGACGGAGTCGGCGCGGGCGCAGAGGAGCGTCTGTCTGAAGTGGTGATGGAAGTCGAAACCCCTGGGAGCTATAACATACTACGGACTGAGGCAGGAGTGCATCGTGTTCAGCGAGTGCCGGCCACAGAGGCAAAGGGGCGAACCCATACGAGTGCGGTTAGCGTTATGATACTGCCCAGTTTTCCCGAGAGCAACCAAGAAGACAGCCCCCTTAACTTTGATGATCCGAATTCAGATTACTACGTCAACCCCCAAGATGTGCAATCTGAGAAATTCCGAGCCAGTGGTGCTGGTGGCCAGCATGTCAACAAGACTGAGTCCGCAGTGCGGCTCACACATATTCCTACCGGAACAGTCATCTCGATGCAGGACTCCCGTTCCCAGCACGAGAATCGCAGGAAGGCCTGGCTATTGCTCAGAGCCAAGTTAGCTCAAGCCAGACGAGAGGCGAGAGAACAGGAAATGATGGAACTACGTCGTGGTGCCATGGGCGGCGTCAACAAGACTGGCAGAGGAGATAAGATCCGTACATACAACTTCACACAGAGTCGATGTACAGACCACCGGAGCGGCATGACAGTCCATAATATTGGCAAGGTCATGGATGGAGGTGAGAACCTTGAGAAGATCATGGAGAGCGTTCAGAGCTGGCTTGTAGATCAGGAAGTTGAGGCCCTTTGTCTAGAGCAGCAAGCTGCCACTGCTGATGGTAAATCCTCTCGCAAAGCTACTGCTTGATGGTATAGAGCGAGACAATGATATAGACACTGTATAATAAATATATAATACCCATATACAGCATATTGATTTCAAGCTTACATTATTTGGGCTTTATTTTCAAAGTAGAGTACGGACAGGGAAACATAAACAGTCTATCTTTGTCCTTCTATTTATACGTAGAATATACACGAGCGGAAGCTCTAGATTTGTTTCAGTATAACCAAGCTAGCTCCTCAATTCAGGACCGCAGCCATGGAACATGATATAAAAATTTTAGATGTACTTTCTTTCGGGATCCAGCAAATCAAGACCCTCCATGGTTTTCTCATACCTTTTCAACCACATGTTAGTCTCATGGTAACAGTCATAGATGGATTGAGGAGTTGATGAATGTTCTTACATAGTGAAAACGATGCCACCGCTTAGCACCAGTCTAGCAAGACGTGGAACGGCTCCAGACCAAAAGGTAAATATTCCCTCGTTCTTCAATATCTTTGCCACACAGTCAAAGCTGTTCTTGTAGCTACTCCTTGCCTCCAGCGATTGCATTCTACGCCATGTTAGCATATATTGGTTCCAAATGCCTCTGGGGATATGAATAGTCTTACCGTGTCTTCACAGTATCTAGAGGCTGGGTAACGTAGCTAGATATTATTGTTAGTTTCCTAGCTCTGGAACTGTCTTTTAAAAATATTGATTCACATACACTGTGATAAGACCAGCCATCCCACCAATGGCAAAGGTGCTCAGGGTCCCGAGCTTCTCACCGGGAGCTATGTAACCCTGCGCAAACTGTTTTATGGTCGTATAACTCCCAAATCTCGTCGCAGAATTAGCTGCTTGTCGCGCAGTTGTGGGTATAAATCCTTGGAAGAAGCCTCGGATGCCTCGCTCGCGGAATATAACTGCACTTCCATGCAAAAAGCCACGCATCCGTGGCTTAGCGGATTTCCTATCATCAATGCTGTTTATTGTCGGTATATTAGTATGGCCTTGAATTTAATTCCCAGGAGGACGGCCATGTGGTTGTATAACGTACAGCTGCGTCTTGATGCTCTCAAACGGAGTGACTGCTAGGAGGGACTCGGTAAATCCAGCACCGAACCCGGCTATCACAGTCTTTGGGCCTGATATCTTTCCGTTCTCATCTTTTAAGAGGGACTTGAAAGCATCGAACGCGACGAAACCTATCAGGTTGTCAGGGTAAGTGGTGAACCAGCCGAAACCGAGTCATCGCGGAGGGCTAAACGTACGAACGCCGGCCTTTATCGAGTTACCAATAATCAACGTCGTGCATCCCGCATACCACGCCCGTCCGAACGGAGGCCATGGTAGTTTCTTGCCGTCCGCTAATCGGCGGTTGAGCTGGGTTCTGGTCTTCGCGACTGCGGCGATACGTAAGGGTTGCGTCCGGTCAGCAATCATGCATGGGCAGCAGCATCTATACTCTGGAAGGGTGTGATAGCATACATTCTGCAGGATAAGTGATTGCTATCGCAGGTGTTAGCAGTGTATTTCAAGGCCCTCTTTAGGTAGCTATTGCGTTGATGGTAGACGGAGAAGGGGAGAGTACGTACAGATCTCAACAGCTCCAGCTGTCGAGCCAGCGATGATGGACCGCAGACTGCTCGGCTGTGCCGTTGGAAGTTAGCTGATAACGTCGACACTTATGGACAGAGACAAGTGGCGTACCTTTAGCTTCTGGTCGTTCTCCTTGGTCGCCATCGCTGCTCAATTGACCGGTGTGTCTGGTGGGATGTTCTTCGGCTTTTGCCTGCTGCCAGCTTTTCGATGTGATGGACGAATTTGACTCGCGCTAACTAGTTGGCTTGCCGTAACCAACCAAAAAGCAAACTCCGGAGTGTATTAGCTATACACTGATACAGCGTATAGCATAGGCAATAACTAATTGCATGCCCGCATAGATGCGAGGCCATAAGCTATATCTAACTATTGGGCGTGGGCGGTACAATGCTCTCACACCGGCAGGTGCGTTGTCGTCTGTATCAAGATCTACACAGCAGAGTACGGTACGCTGCCTTATACTTTAATCTGTAACCAGTGCTAGAATCTACGAGGGCGATTATTAGCTAGGAGAAGAAGTACTCAGAGGAAACTAAACATGGCATTGACTAGATGTCAGTGATCTAGGGTACAAGTGCGATGAACACAGTAGAGTATGGATTCACCATGAAGTTGAGCAACCCTGCTAACATCAAGTAGTGACCCCTGAATATTTTTTTGGTCTTTTTTTCTGTCTTTTCTTTTTTCATTTCGTTCCTTTTTCTTTTTTTTTCCTTTTTTTATTTTAATTTTTGGTTTGCTTTGGTTCGTTGTCGCTGTGTGCGAGCTGTCCTTCCACTGGCCTTCGATATCAAATGGTCCGCACAAGGGTCGGAATGATAGCGAAAGTAGGTCTGTACGAACCCTTGATAAGCGAAAGGTGGAATGGATGGTGCCTAGGCAAAGGCATGTTGAGTCTGGGACGAGTCGTATAAGTATAGCATTGACGGGGCCTCAAATGTTGATTTCTCAAAAGGCTTGTCAGAGACGCGGTTGATGGTCGACATTCCGGTAAGTAGTGTCTCAAGAAGGGTCACAGGTGTATTAGGGAGGCAGATCGGCTCTGGAAGTGACGTAAGCGCCGATAAGACGAGAGCAGTGTCAAAGGGCCTTGCTGTGTGCCGTAATAGCGTGAAGACTGGAGTGGCCCGGGATAGGGGAAAAATATGATACAATGCCTGCAGCATCAACATGGCTTGAAGATCCTGCAAGGTGCATGAAAAATTAGAAAGGGCTGGGGTTCTTTTTTCTGGATGCTGGTAGTGCTGGTGGTGATAGCAGTGTAATAAAAAAGATGCACTGCTTGAAAAAAGAGGGGAGGGGGGAAGGTGGGTATAGTGAGGTGGGTTTGTGGAGGATGGGAGAGAGTAAGCGTTAAAAGGATCGTGAGTGATAACAAACAAAAGAAAACAAGAAAAAGCAGATAAACGAATAGATGCATAGCAAACACGTTCGATTAGGACCCAGGGGTTCCTGAATTGGCAGCATTGGCTTGTGAGTTTCCGGCTGCTCTAGAGCTGTCAGGGTTGTTTGAGCGCTGGCCGGAGCCACGACTACCGCGGTATGAGCCGCGGCTATAATGCCCGCGGTTGGAGCTGTACTGTCCATGGCCATTGGATGGGTTGGTGGTTTGTCGACGAGGCTGGCTTTCCTGGCCAGCTGATTTTTGTTCCTCTGAGGGGTTGTTGGAGATGGGGCGAGGAATGGTATTTGGCGTTTCGTAAACATATAGTTTCTTATCGATGGACGGAGGGATGGGCTGGATCTCAGTTCCCAATTCCTGTTCGATCTTGTACAAGTTGTATCGATCGTCCCAGTTAATCAGGTTGATCGCCAAGCCAAGATGCCCAAAACGTCCGGAACGACCAATTCTGTGCAAATATGTTTCGGCATTCTTGGGGAAGTCAAAGTTGATAACCACGTTCACAGCCTGGATATCGATACCACGAGTCAAGAGGTCTGAACACACGAGGTTCCTACATACGCCGTTTCTGAAGTCGTGGAACACGCGGTTTCGGTTATGTTGCAGCATGCGCGCATGAGAGTAGAAGCAGGAGTATCCAAGTTCGGTAATTTTCTTAGCGAGAAGCTCAACGCGGTTTGTCGAATTGCAGAATATGATGGACTGATTTATTTGGAGTTTGGAGAAAAGAGTGTTCAAGCAATGAACTTTTTGCCTCTCTTCGACGAATGCATAATATTGCGTTATGCCTCGGAGGGTGAGCTCATCCATGAGGTTAATTTCATAGGGGTTTCGCATGTGTTTGTCCTGAAGCATGTGTATTAGGCGATTGCCACAAGTGATAAAGAAACGGACGTGTATCATACCTTGAAAGTCTTTACGATAATCGGGAAAGTGGCGCTAAAGAGCATAACTTGGCGGTCTTTAGGGTGAAAGGTCAAGAGTTGTTCAATAACTGGAGTGAACTCAGGAGAAAGAAGTTTGTCCGCCTCGTCCATAACAAAAGTAGTACATTCCGATAGATCAGCAACGCCCTTGCTAGCAAGGTCAAGAATTCTGCCAGGTGTTCCAACAATGATGTGAACCGTGTCGTTAAGTCGGATAATATCGTCCTGTAGACCGGTTCCTCCGGTTGTGACCATGACATTTATGCCAAGGTGCTTTCCAAGCGTCTTGCAAACCTGTGATGTCTGTAGCGCTAGCTCTCGGGTAGGCACTAGTATAAGGGCCTGGGTTTTAGCTATTTTCGGGTTGGTGCGTTCTAGGGTTGGAATAACAAAGGCAGCTGTCTTTCCGGTTCCGTTCTTCGCTCTGGCAAGAATGTCACGACCTGTGAGAGCGACGGGGATAGTTTCCTCTTGGATAGGAGACGGCTTTTCAAATCCAGCTTCAAAGATTCCCATCATTAGGTCTCTCTTAATATAGAAGTCCTCGAATTCCAGACCCTTAGTAGCGGTAACATCCTAGTTGCGGGCAAAACAACAGGGTTAGAAGAGAATATCCGTAACTAGCATAGTGGCAATCAGCCCAGGGACAGCTCTTACTTCGGTCTGTACTCTCGTATCCTTAGCCGGGATTTTCAATTGTTCTTTCCATTTGTTATCCGTGCTACTATCACTGTTGGGGGTAGAGTAAGTGAAAGTTCTGCGATTGTGCAATGATGGCGCCATACGAACCCTAGCTTTGTGTTGTTCAGCTGAGCAGCAAGAGCGTCGGTCATGGTAGGCGATTTTGTAAAGGCGGGGGGTTTATGAAGAAAGCAACAGGGATCAGGTCACGTCGAGATTGTGTATTTCTAAGGGTGCGTATGGGTATTTGCGTGTCTACGTCTTCGAACAAGGTGGACGTAGCTCTAGGGTCAAGAAACGGCTTCAAAAGTAACTATAGCGGGGATTGTAAGCAGCGAACAAAAGCAGGTAACAACGCGTAAGGAAGGTCGAGGCCTTACTGGTATCGTTAGTGTGAGTGTCTTGAAAGCGGCGTTGGAGTCGTTTCTCGTGTGCTCAGCCGACGAAGGAGTTGCGCGGCTTGTTGGAGTGCGGAGAGGGGGTGGTGTGTTTGAGAGTTTTTCCTGACCGTAACTACTGTTCGGTAAACACGGGTGTGATCTGGGAGGACACGGAGGTTCCAGGAGGCTGAGATATGGCCTTTTGAGGGTGAAAATTCAGCGGAGATAGTTGGGCTGCAAGGGTGTTGTGTTGTGTGTGCGTGAGGGCGAAGTTGTTTCTGTTGTTTTGTCGGTTTTTTGGAGGTCGAAAGAAGGTGAGAAAGCTTTTTTTGGCTTTTTGAGGTTAAACTCACGGAGGAGGGAAAAGGGCTTGGCCCGTGCGCCAAGATTTTAAGTAGTTAAGCAGTTAGTTACTGGGAGAGTGAACGAAGACTTGGTGGCAGCGGACTACGGGCAGTGATGCAGCTGAGATAGGAGGGAGAATAGAATAGGCTATGTACACGGCGGGAAGGGGTGGTTAGATGATGCTATATATACAAGATGGAGGGGGCCCTGTCCGGGTTGCATGACTGGTTACCTAGGGCCATAAGCTAGCTACTGGGCGAAGGAGAGCGTACGCTGGCCTCGTTCGGGCTCAGCAAGCCTAGATAGAAAGCAATGGCTGTGAGTATCAGGGAGCGCATGCGCAGAGCAAAGTAGAGTGGCAAAATGAACGTACTCTTTTACACGCACGTCTGGGGCGGCGGTGATTTCAGACCTAGACCCGGGGGTGATGAGGATATACTGGCGCCCGACTGAGCATCGAGCAGCATACATCTAGTGCCAGAGATAAAAAAGTTAGGTGGTTAAGCGTAAAAGTACTATAATAACACGTCTTAAGAAACTTACCAGGATGTCAATTGCCATCTTTCGGTTAACCGAGTCCATATAGACGTCACTAGAGTACATTAGCGGAAGACCAGATGGTGCGAATGAGGCGCAAAAGGCGGCTTACAATTCGTCCAGGCAACGGATAGGGGAACCCATAGCTTCCCATAGGGCTAGTAAAAGGCATATCTGCGAGAACGACTTTTCTCCTCCCGACAGAGTCTTCGCTCCTCGACTGATGCTATCCTTGGTGCTGTCTGGCTCAACCTAGAAGCAAATCAGCAGAGTGAACGCGGGAAGTTGCTTCAGTGTACGTTGCAAAGAATTCCTTACCTGAACATCTAATAGTTTCTTCTTGTGATTTGCAAGCAGTCTTCCTCTAAAGCCTCGCTCACTGAGAAGGTAGATGAACTGGATCTTCGCTCGTGACGTAATATGAGCTCGGAACTTCTGCCATCTTTCTTGCCGGTGAACCAGAGAGTTTTTGAGCATCTACCACGGGTGAGCAGCCACGCGAAGAAAATTGGGTGAGGCCGATAACAATATATAATAACTCCATACCTGTGCCAGTGTTCTAAAACCGACGATCTCGTTCTGTGACCGCTCATATTTTGCATCTGCTTCCGCCGCGGCGGCGGCAATTTCCTCCCTTGACGCCCCCATCCTAAAACAACTGTAAGTAAAAAAAGGTTATGTGACCGTGGGATTGGCCTTGCGTACTGTGAATCATATCTTCTGAGGTCTCTATCCAGCCTCTCCAGCTTCTCTGCAAGGCTGGTCTCCGTTTCCCCTGCATCAATCGGGACCCTGGGAGAAACCATGCTAGCCTTTTGAATGAAGTCAGCAATTCGAGTGGCAGTATCTTCCTGCTTTCGCTCAATCTGAGTAACCTGTGCTTTAGCAGTGTCTGTTTTGGCGATTGCATCATTTTTGCCAACGAGCGCCGTATGTCTCTTATTTGCCTTGACTGACAGCTCGTTCTCTGCTTTACGGGTATCCTCAGAAACACGAGATATTTCGGTGTCTTTGGCAGCTAATTCCCTCTTTATCTCCTTTACCTTGGTTGTTGCTACGTCCCTTGCGTTGACGCAATCTTCAAATGAACGTTCGTGTAGCTTCAGTTCTTCCTCAGCTTCTCTCAAGGCCGAAGTTAGGGCCTCGAGCCGTCCATCCTGGTTTCTGTCCTTGTCAATTGCCTCTTTAAGATCATCTACCCTATCTTCAGCCCTCTGACTCTCGACGGATAATTCATGCTCTTGGTTTTTATGAATAGAGAGCAACTGTTTTTGTCGCTGAAGATGCTGGACCGCAGCACGGTATTCTTGTTCAAGCCGTCCAAGGTCACGTTTGAGGGTATCAATGACTTCTCGCTGCAGTCTAGAGATGAGTCAGTAACCAGGTGGGTTGCATTAACCGGGTCAGGACTAGGCTTACCTTATCTGGATATCGATATCCGTTTTCATTCGAGGTCTTCCAGTAAATGCAGGAATAGGAGACTGGCTTGGGTCTCCGGTTCGATTAAAGGCAAGATGGATACCTCGCCTTCTGTCCCTAGAATCTATACAGTAGCATCGTCTGACATTTCTTGGCCTTGCGCCATCAAACATAATTTTTGATGCCTCTTCAACATTTTCAATCAGTAGCATCTGCTCAATGCCGTGATTGATCACCAATTGACGGCGAACCATATCATTATCAATCTATATTGGGCCGGGCGGAGGTAGTTAGTAAAAGTGATCTTTACAGTGATAAGAAAAAGCTAACCTCTAGTACTCTCAGTGCGGTATCGAACTTAGAATCAGGTTCATGGTTCGTGGTATCAATCCTTCCTTGTGAATTCCCAATAAATATTGGACAGACGCTACAAAATACACGTTAGCGAAAAGCTCAGTAGTTTGCATAGCGTTCCTCAACCCACCAATTTACCCGTTGCATTATTCCAGACAAGACATTCATATCTCGTTTTGAAGTAACCACAAAACTCGTGAGTGTTGTGCCGAATGCATTCTCCAGGATGGAAGACCATTTGGGCTGCAAAAGGCGTACATGTTGGCCCAGAGGCCCAACTGGTGCTTGGTCAAATCCCTGTTCAGCGGCAATCGCCCGCAGAAGCAAGGGCATTCTCTCATTAAACCCGTCCTGTTGGTCTCTACTATCTCTCATCAATGTTCGTAGCTGGTTTTCCGCATCAGTGATCTCGGTCTTCTTCATCCCTATCGGCCCTCTTTTCTTGCTGGCAGCTTCGTCTGCTTCAGAGACGGCTTTCTGTAAATCTTCGGCACCTTGTTTATGCTCATTGTATTTTTCTTTAGCGGTCAACGCAGCAGCCCTCGTTTCTTCAAGTTCCTTGAGTTTTGCTGCTGTAGCACCGCCATTCAATGCCTCAAGCCTCGCGTTTTCCTCCTCGATTTGCTTTTCAGTATCGGCAATTGTCCTTTTATTGTCCATTATATGCTCCCTGATCATCGCTTGTTGGGCCTTCCTCTTATATTAGCCATTGTACTTATATTAATACCTGGTAGCGCTAGGTAGGAGACACACCTGGAGACCTGTCCGCTCTTTAACGGCTTCATCATACCGTTGCTTGATTTCCGCTTTACTATCATCAATAGCAGCTTGGGCTTCCTTAGCTACACGAACGGCCTCTCTTGCCTCGTTGACTTCTTGATCAGCTGCCTGGAATTCTGCATCACGATTTTCAGCTTCGGATTCTAGCTGCTCAATACGTGCTCTTGTTTCTGCTATTTCGGCAACGAGAGAATCACGAATCTGTGGCTAGTTAGCTTGCTGAAAGAAAAAAATTGGGACACAAAGCAAAGGAGGGGGAATGGCAGACCCGTTCTTGTTCCTCTACCTGTATCCAGGCTGTCTGTGATCGTAAGTGTCGAATCCGGGCTCTTAGACTCTCATGCCTGTCAGACTGTGCCAGTCGTGCCCTTGCGTTGTTCCTGTTAGATTCCAGGACCTTTAACTGTTCCTGATGGTCGTGGAGTTTGACTTGAAGCTGGTCTATGGATTCCTCCATCATGTGGTAGTCGTGGTCTAATTGTTCTAGCTGCACCCCCTTCATGAAAAACTTATACTTTTCAGCAGGACTTGAGGTACTCAGAAACTGCCGGGCCATGTCCTGAGAGAGCACGTTCATAGGGTTGTCCATCTGCAGCGCAAAGTAGTCCGTGATATAATCTAGATCCGCTCTCCTTGTTGAGATAATGGTCCCCGACTTACTTTTCAAACGAAAACCGCTTGAGCCAGAGCGTGTGAAGTGACGTTCGACGATTATTGACTCTCCATACGTATCTGGTAGATAGGCACCGTCTCCTCTGTTCTTTATGCGCACGATGATGGTTGCGGACCTGACATAGTACATTAGCAAAATGTAGCACCCCCAAGAGAGCTAAAAGTGCATCACCTACTCCTTGCCCTCTTTGACGAAGCTTTTAAGGCTCTGGCCACGGTTTGTAGCAGACGCTTTTCCTCCCAGACAGAGTGTGAGTGCGGTCAAGATGGCGCTCTTCCCGCTCCCGTTTTTGCCCACGATGAAGTTGATCAACGGGCCCAGCTCGACCGAGAAGTGCTCATGGCACATGAAATTGTAGCAGTCGACGCGCTCTATGATCCCATGCTCTGCCGCCACATTCTCCTGTCTCCGGGAGTTCTTCTCGTGGATGACCTGAGTCGAGCGAAGACCGATCTCTTCCTCCTCCGCGTCCTCTTCTTCTGCCTCTGACGGCGAGCTGCTGGAGCTGCCGGAGCTGCTAGAACTATCCGAGCCGGACGAGGCAGCGTCTTCTTCTTCGAGCACGTCTGATATCCGCGGCCGTTTATTCTATCAGATTCCCAAGTTAGCCGTGCTCCGGTACGGTGATGAGATGGTCCTCTCTTAACTGTGCTGGCGCCGCCCTCGCTGCTGGAGCCGGGCTCAACAATGCTCTGTCCTCGTTTCATGGCTGTCCGTAAACGTCCGGAGCCGCAGGTATCAACGCTTTCAAGTCTCTTCTCTTCTGTCGTTCCGGCGATGTTGCTGAAGTGGTGGTCGCTTTTTCATATTCATCTAGTTAGTTACTTCGTTGCGCTGATTGACTTTTGTTGCGCGCGTCGCGTGTTGGGGAAATCTCGTTAGATTGCTCGGATGCCACCCTTTGTAAGGCCGAAGTGCTGAGATGCCCCTGTTTCGAGCCTCAAGGCGTAACTAAAGACAAAGATCCTGCATTTATGGTCATACGCGCTGTTTTCTGCGTGTATCCCTGGTTTAACTAGCTGGTTACTATGAGGAGTTCTATTCTAATGGCCGTGGATACCGGTGACAGGGTGACGGCGAATCCGCAGCTACGCCTGAGCCAGTTCTACCCTTCGATCATCATCTTATTAACAGGAGTCTAGGACACGGTCTACTAGGAGTCGGGCGCTCGATACGCCCTCATACACGGTTATAAACAGCAAAGGCCTCCAGGTAGTTCTTTGCCGTGGCTGGGAACGTGAACTTGACGGCCTCATCCTGGCCGGCGAGATATCTGCGAACCTCTGCCTCCGTCACCCATCGGTACTGCTCATGCTCGCCGGGGGCCAGCTTGACCTGATGCTCCCAGTCCGGGGCGAAGTGACTGTTCTCTGGTGCTTGGTGGGCTTCGTGGACGTCGACCCAGAATGAGAATTTGATGGCCTTGATGTGCTCTCCGTCCTTGACTCGGTCCCACTGGTCGACGGCAACGAGATCCCGTATGTGGGAGACATGCAGTCCGGTCTCCTCATAGACTTCTCGCGCCACGCTGTCGAGTACTGTTGCGTCGGTGTCGTCGCAGGAGCCTCCTGGGCCTTCCCACAGGCCGCCTAGGGAGTCGGTTATGGCTCTCCGGAGCAACAAGGCGCGTGTGGAGCGTCTGACTTCATCGTCACTGACTGTTGTATTCGGGTCTCTTGCTGGGGAAAATATAAATGCACCGATTATAAAGGCATTATATTCGGATTTTGACTGAAAGAAGTCACGAATAGGCACGTCGAACTCAGCAAGCTGCGGCTCAACTATGAATGTTCGATCCATGATGGTTGCTGTGGTTGAATGGAAACGAATAGAATGCCGAAGCACTGGATGAATAGGTAATTATCAATTATTTATATACAAGACAGCCAGGCAGCAGAATTAACCATACAGATGTTACGCCCATTGAAGAGTCATGATATGAGGCTGATAGGAAAACAATGATGTTGATGACATCAAGTGGGATGTCTCGTATTTAAAGTGCCCGAACTAATGGTTTGAGTCAGGGGATATTATGGACCCTGTATCCACGTCTATCAAATATATCGCGATACAACAAGTAAAATCCACAGACACAAGCGATGAATGAGACTCAGCCTTGAGTCTCTTTGGAACTATTAGACAGCAACCGAATGGAGACGAATATGTATACTGTGTTATTCAAAAATTATATATAAAAATAGAAATAATAATGAACGTAAGGAAACAAATCAGTGAAAGATGGAATACAAGAAAGTATAAAAGATGCTTCCAACATATTAGGGGTATCTTATAATGGAAGCATCCGATAGATATTAAAAAAAAGAGCTGTAGAAGGTATATGATTATGTATGTCCAAAATAAATAGAAGAATTGAAGTATCGACATAGGAAAATCGCTGTCACGGAGGTCGGCGTAAGCTGGTAGGAGAAGAAGTAAAAAGAGAAAAGAAGAAGATAGAAGAAAAGGGCTAATCCCACTGGCCAAGGTAGGCAGGCTGCCATTCCTGGCCAGGATAGGAGGTGCTGGACATCACTATCTCTTCACTCGAGTCATCGTTTGTTGGGAGTTCGACGGGTTCCATAGAAGCTACGTGTACAAGACGGGTTTGTTCGGGGATACGGCTTCCGTTTGACGCATCACCAGACGGAACAGTGGAATTGGAATTGCTGGCAGGTGTTGGACGTGTTTCAAAGTATGAGTATGAGCCATTAAGGGATCCCTTAGGTGGTGATATTGGCTGCGGAGAGCTGACATGACGTAACCCTGGAGAAGTAGTCGTAGACATAGCATATTGAGATGTACTGGATGGTATCTGGGGATTCTGATGCTTCTCATCCTGGGGTAGCGTGATGGTCCATGGAGTCTCCTGGTCGCCTACACGCGAGGTGTGCGGAACCGAGGCATGGAACGCTCCAAGCCTCTGTGCAGGGTCCTGAGTATCAGGAGCAAGTGAAGGGCTATCGGCGGTATCTGGAGGTCTGGAAAGAGGACTGCGAGAACGGAAGTGTAAATCTTTGGCGTGAGGAGAGTGTGTTGGTGATTTGGTTGTCTGCTCAGAGCCAGTAGGAGAATACATGGCTTGTGACAGGGGTGGAGTTATGATGACCTGGTTGTTGGAAACAAAGTTCGATCCTGAAGGTACTGCTGTTGGACTGAAAAGGCCAGTATGTTCTCCAGCCACTCTACCCCCGGGGCCTTCTGAGAATTCCTTCGTGGGAGAAGGCTGCCTGCTCATTGGAGGTGTGTTTGACGGCCCAGGGATCCGTGAGCTAACGGAGTTAACGGACTTGTAGAACCGCGTTGGCCGGTTTCCTGAAGCCTGTCTGGAGCCCTCTTCTGCCGTTGATGTATTGGGGGTTCGCTGGTTCACATTTACACTTGGAGCTGGAGATTGGGCCCTGCTGGGGGATAATGCTCTATCAGGCGAAAAAGCTCTGGCTGGTGAAAGCACTGTTTCAGGGGAGAAAGGCCGATTGCTCATTGGGGGAGACGGTTCATCATATACTCCTGAGTTCAAGTGAGGAACGGAGCCGTTCACTGTATTATGATTTGAAAGAGCACTTGGGGTGTTTCGTTGTAGGGCATCCCGGTTTCCTACTGACTGAAATTGCCTGGCATAGGAAGCAGCAGGAGTGTGAACTGTTGGTATGGCAGGCTCTTCGCTCGTAGGACCGTTGTTATTCTTATTTTTGCCATGTAGTAGATCAAACTTCAGTGTTTTGAACATCTTGCTGCTTTTCTTTAGCGCAGGGGATGAGGGTCGGTCTGCTGGTTGCCCCTTGCTGCGTCCCAGGTTAACCTTCGACATGATGCCAGTAAACCCAAGGCTGGACCGGCGCTTTTTCTGCTCGTCTGGAGGATGGTAGACACCGGGATCAGGGCAACCCGCACCCACTTGGGAATAGTAGTAGTTGGCATTTCTGTCGTTAGTCTGCTGGTCGTGCGTACGGGGAGTAGCCGCTCCCGGGGCCTGGATGGATATTCCAGAGCCATTTGTGTCGGTGCGTGCATGGGTAGATGGCAAAGGAGACACGCTGCGCTGTTCTGTCTGAGCCCAGGTTCGTGCATGGGCTGGATGGACTGGGTTGCTGGGCAAGCTGTTTGACACATCTGTAACTGGAGGCGGAGGGACAGTTCCGGGAGGAGGAAATTTGTACTCAGATTGCCAATTTGTAGTCTGGGTAGAGCTTCCTTGCTGGCCGTCTACTAGTGGAGGGCTGTCTATGGGCGGACTGATTTCTGGTTCTAATTCAAACGAGAATTTGCGGAGGCCCAATCCCCGTTGCTGTCCTGTAGCATCCACCGGCAGATTTTGCTTCTGATTACCATTGGTTACAATTATCTCTGCTTCAATCTGCTTGGAGTCATCGAGTGTATCTGCCGAAGAAATGACAGAGGACTCTCGAGTGGGCTTGACGTCCACTTCGGAAACGGCAAACGATAGTCTGCCCTTTTCAATATCCTTTTCGTCTGCGAGCACTGAGACAACGCCTGACTCCCCACTGCCTCGGTCACTGGCTGTGGCAGAAACGGGTTCAATATTTGGGGTAGAAGTTGGAAGGTTGATCTCTGGTATACCGGGGCTCTGCATTGGCTGGTCAGGCACTGGCATAGGCTGATTGTTGGGCACATCAGTTTGCACATGAGGTTCTGAAGATTCAAGAGTATGAGAAACGGGGCGCTCCTCCGTGATCAATGCCAGACCACGGCCACTAAATCGTTTAGAATCCCGTGGTCTCTTTTCGTCACCATTAGACTTAGACATGATATGAGCAACTTCGCCCATAAAGGAGACCGAGAATGGCTGGCTATCGAATTTTAGCGATTTGACACGAGGGATTGTCTCTGGAATTGTCAGTGAGTGTTGTTGTTGCTGTTCATGCTGTTGTTGCTGCTGAGGTTGTTGTTGATGCTGATATTGACTACCAATACTAAGTCGAGAACCTTCAAACTCCGACTGCACAGAATTATGTGTCATCGGAGGAGAAGCAGGAGGAACAATTTGACCCTACAAAATAGCCGTATATTAGACTCGCTATGTGACTTCGTAAGATATGACCGATACAAAAAGAGGGGGGTAAGCCAGAATTCCCCCCCGGCATGACAAAGCCCAAAGATATCAGCCGGTTCGATCTTTAACCAAAAGCCAATTTGATAGGATATGAGTTGCCAATGTATGTCGAAGAAAAGTCAAGATGTATAGAAGAAGGAAAATGGAGGGATAGAGGGGGGTGGCCATGAGGATCGTCACATTGGCCAGAATGAAGATATGTCATTCTGAAAGAAGGATGGAGGAAGAAAAGAAGAGACTTAGGTATCTACCTTGTCGGCACTTCCACTGTGTCGGAATTTACTCCTGCCCTTGGCGAAGAGGCCCTTTGCTGCATCACCAGCCTTACCACCTAGGACGCCGGCGGAGTGAAGGAGATCCTTGCCCTTTGCTTGGACGTGCTGCGTGTTCATCATTCCGCCGAGCTGGACGCCTGAGCTCTGGCGGATGTGGCCATGGCCAGGACCAGAGCCGTCATGATGTCTAGAAGGCAGAGATATGTTGCTGAGTGAGGGTAGCTTGGGGAATTTTCCTTGAGATGGTATGGGCCGGTGAGCTGCATTTGGATCGGTCGGAGCTATGCCGTTTCGTTGGATTGTTTCTGCGTTGTCAGGATGGCCAGTTTCCGCTACGTTCTTGACCCATCCGTCGAGACCAGAGTCCGTGTTTGCATAGACATCTCTGGCATTGTTGAAAGCGGCTATTCTTTGGGCGGGCTGGGGGATGCTAGTTATTTCACGGAATTCAGGGGCTTTCTGATTTGACATGGATGATACGCCTGGTGGGACAGTGTTAGGGGGAAGGGGGCTCTGGCTCTGAGTCTTTGGCAGCAGCTCTGCTTCTTTGTCTTGAGTCTCGACTGGAGTGGTGTCCTGTGGGCTCTCAGCAGCGAGAGATCCTGGGACTGGTGCACTAGTTGCGGCTTCATTTCCACTGCCACCTGTGGGCTGTTTATTAATGACCAATGCTCCTGGGGTCAGGGTGGCTGAAACAGGTGACAGCGGGGATAGAGCCTGTTCTCTGTCGCTCTCCTCTGAGTCAACCTCCCAGGAAAACTTCTTTTTTAGCTGTCTCTGAGGCTGCTGCTGCTGCTGCTGCTCGTAAGTAGGGATGGAAATGGTAGTGTGGGGATGATCCATGCCATGGGGAGATGGGTAGTTGTCCTGGAGTTGTGTATACGCATACTGTGTTGGCTCCTCACCTGAAGCAGCGGGAGGAATGTCAGCTTTCTGTGCAGATTTCTGTACCGGAGAGCTCTCATCATGTTCTTGGGCTGGAGGTGGAGGTTCAGTCTGTTGTTCTGTCGTCTCTGTGGCAGTGTTTGGGAGCGTGTTTGGGTCTATCGAGCTTCGTTTACTCATGCTAAGAGGCGAGACATCCAGACCAGCGATGTGTGGCCCTGAAGAGTCGTCTTCTGAGACCGTGTTACGCGACGGAGTGTGAGTCTCGATGTCACTGTGACCTGCTGCGTCTGGGCAGTCCAAGGCAGAAGTTGGTGAGTGACCGTCTCGGCTCTGTTCACCTTCAGAGGATATAGATTTTTTAGGGTCTGTGGGTGCTGTATGAGCAGAATGATTTGAGGATGGCTCGTCACCACCTACGTGTTCTTCTCTGATAGTAGGGACCTTCTCTGCGGGTTCTCCAGGCAGCGCATGTGTGCTTGTTGTCGTTCCAGACTTGTCACCACTGTCCATGAACCCTTCAAACCCAGAGAGTCGTCGTAACTCGGGCAGCTGGCCTATGGGAGGCTCTGCGGTGTCGTTTGGCAGCGGTATCGCGGCCGTCTTGCCGCCATCAGGGCCAGCTGGAGCAGACGTTTCAGTTCCTGTGGTCGCTGCAGGTGTGTCTTGAACAGCAACTGTCGAAGCTGACGGCGTGCCAGCAGCTCCCACAGAGCTCCCCGAGCGAGTACTTCCCCGCTCTTCAGCCAGCCGTTTGTATATATCCGCCGGCCTGACGATGTTTGGCGATTGAGGGTTTCCAGTAGTAGTAGTAGAGTTGTCTGGCTGGTCTTCCTCATCCTCGTCCTCGCTTTCTCCCCACTCGTCACCGGCGTACGAGTATTGTTTTGCATTCACCCATCGCTTGGTCTTTTGGCGATTTACATTAGTCTTCAGGTCGAGGGTTTGCGCCGTTGACCAAGGGGACTCTGGGTTCTGACCTCCCGCGGGCGATCTAGAGACACAGAAAGATGTCAGCTTTTCGACCTGTCCACCAACAGCCAACCTGGAGGACTACTTACCTGTCACCGGGGACGTAGGTCGGCTGGTAGCCAGACATGCTGCAGAGGGTGTGCAGTGGTAGTTGTGGCCTGTCGTGGTTATTATGGTTAAGGTACTTCCCCCAGGGACGATCTATAAGTTGTTTCGAGAGGAGGGACTCCCTGCAGGGGCTTCAGCACCACGCAGCGGCTAAGACACCAGTTCACCAGCAGAGCCCGACCGCTCTATCGCATCTCGTCCCTCGGGCACACCAGACAGAGAAGAAGAAAACAGTTTGCTCGAGGGAAGAAGAAGCGGGAGAGCAGAAAAACGGCGGCTTTTCAGGGGATTTCGCGAAGGATGAGCTAGAGGAGTCGTTAGAGGATCACGTGAGCGAGATGACGACGTGAAGTTGAAGCCGAAGAAGAAGAAGAGAAAACATTCACGGACAAGACATTAAAAGAAGAACGACGACGAGAGGGAAGATACAAGTTACAGGCGAAGGCTAGGACAGGGAACAGCCGGCAAGAGACGCCCAGCCAGGAACGCAACCCCCCCGGGCCCCCATCCCATGTCGTCAGGGCCCGTCCAGCATCCAACACCGCTGCCCTCGACATAACACACATAACCACTAAGGCGCTCACACAGAGAGAGACATACCATCGCAGAGACAGATACAGACACAGACACAGACGGGAGAGACGCATCTTGGAGACGATAGACAGGCAGACGGCACGATGGCAGCGCCCGCGCCCATCCAGGACCGGACGACGGAGTTCCGCTCGATCCTGAGCCAGGCGCAGAAGAGACTCGCCTCGTCTAAGGCCAGCGGACGGCAGAGCCTCCAGGCCAACTCGACGGCCAGGACGACCTCTGCAGACGTGCCGGCAGCGGGTGGTCGGCCGGCGCGCTCTGAGTTTGCCAGACGGGCGGCAGAGATCGGGCGTGGGATAGCGTCGACGACGGGGAAGCTCCAGCGGCTGGCCCAGTGTAGGTCTCCTCTTTATTACTTTCTGATGTAGAGGCCAGGAAGACCGAGACGGTATATACAGGTAGCTGACATGGCGCAGTGGCCAAGCGGAAATCGCTGTTCGACGACAGACCGGTCGAGATATCTGAGTTGACGTATGTGATCAAGCAGGACCTCTCCTCGCTGAACTCCCAGATCGCCTCCCTACAATCCCTTACGCTGGCCCAGCACCCGAAGTCATCACGGAGCAAGACAGACCACGAGGGAGAACACAATGACAATGTATGTGCTTGTATATATATAAGAACTTTTTTCGACTGTCAATATGGCACTTTAGGCTAACTTCTATTTGTCAGGTCGTTGTGCTGCTGCAAGGGAGACTGGCGGATGTGGGAGCCAACTTCAAAGACGTGCTGGAAGTGCGGACGAAGAACATCCAGGCCTCCCGGTCACGGACAGAGAACTTTGTCTCCACTATTTCATCGAGATCGCACGCCCTCGACCCCCAGCGCTCCGACTCCCCGCTGTATAACAGCGGTAGTAACAGCAACCTCAACAACGCCAAAAGCGGCGGCGGCCTGTCTCGCAGCCGGAGCCCGCAGCCAGGCTACCGCCCGGGCTCGGCGGACGTGCTCACCCTGGACCCGTCGTCGTCGAACGGGACGGCCGCGTCGTCCGGGCTGGGGCCAATGCACTCCGACCAGCAGCTGCTGATGATGGAGGAAGCCCAGCCTTCCAACACCTACATCCACGCGCGCGGCGAGGCCATCGAGGCCATCGAGCGCACCATCAACGAGCTGGGTGGCATCTTCGGCCAGCTGGCGACCATGGTCAGTGAGCAGTCCGAGATGATCCAGCGCATCGACGCCAACACCGAAGACGTCGTCGACAACGTCCAGGGCGCCCAGCGCGAGCTGATGAAGTACTGGTCGCGTGTCTCGGGCAACCGCTGGCTGATTGCCAAAATGTTCGGCGTCCTCATGGTATGTCCCTATCTTCCTTTCCCTATATACATACATGATATATAGATGATGCTAACTGCAACAGATATTCTTCCTTCTCTGGGTCCTTATCTCTGGGTAACCGAGCTGGCGCTTGTTCCCTCATGTATATTACCTTCTAGCCACCGTCTTAATCATGTCTTCTGCATCTTCGCCCACTTTTCTTCCACCTCGTCGTCCCTTTTTAGTCCCTTTTTAGTCCCTTTTTGGCCCGTAAAGCGTCTCATCTACGTCTTAGTAAGCGAGCATGTTTCAACCTCATCCCTCAGTATAACGGGGCTCTCCCTAGCACTCCCGCTGCTGACTCAGCCACCCCTCTCCCCCCACCCCGATAAAAAGTGCTCCTCCAACGTCTCGCCGTCTTTTTTCTCTCTCGCCGCAACTTCGTCTTCAACCTTTGAATAACGACAACAAAGCTGCCTGCTGGGCTGTCTGTGACTCTCTGTGCTCTGCCCGGCCCTGCAGCAGGTTAATTAACATGCCCTCCTAGCGGCCAGGACCCATCGAACAACGCGCCGGTCTGTTTCCATGTCTCACTAACGCCTGGGACCCCCGGGGGATCCCTGGACCGCCTGTCGCTACCCTTAATAACTGCTTATTATTACTCGTACATCTCTTCTTTCTCACTGCTCGTCTCTCATCTGGCGCCGTCCGTCTCTTCTCTCGATCTCCTTCTTATCCTTCGCCGTCGCCATCGCCTGCGTCCTGCGTCGTCCTCAAGTCAGTCTCCTCGCTCCCCGGCCGCTGGCGATCCCTCTATCGATGCGCTCGCCCGAGTAGGCCGCTCGCCATACCGGGTCCCTGCCAGCTCCTCTTCCTCTTCCTCCTCCATCCATCCCTCGCCTCTTCGCACAGCTTATACTCCTCCAGCTGCAGCCCGTGTTAGACGATCATACGACGACTCCCATCTTTCGCTCTTTCGCCCGTCTTTTCTCTCGAACAGCCAGCACATATATACTGACTAGCATAACCACTCCGTACCGCCCGGCGATGCTCCTGGGGCCGCCGTCTGTCCCGCCATAATGCTGCTGAAACCAGCAACGCCGCTGTCTGTCCTGCTGTTTGCTGCCTTCGCCCTGCTGCTGCTCTCCGTCCTCTCGACCCCGGTCATCAAGGGCATCCCGCTGGCTACGTACAACGACATCACCTTTGGCGTCTTTGGCTGGTGTCGCAGGAACAGATGCAGTGCCTTCACCATAGGCTACAAGGACGGTAAGGCCGTTAGTTAGTTAGTTATATACGTTGTGACCAATAGACAGCACGGCTAATGTCAAAACCGTCGAATGTAGATGCGAGGGACGGCGCCTTTGGAGACCCCAACGCGGACGGCGACTTCAACCTGCCGGCGTCGATCCGACATACGCTCTCTTCGCTCCTGATCGTGCATCCTATCGCCGCCTTTCTGACCCTCGTCTGCTTTGGCCTGGCCGCCGCTGCTCACCTCCATGCTCCCTCGCACTCCCCGCGCTACCTGCTGGGCCTGCTCATCCTGCTGCTGCCCACGCTGCTGGTCTCCCTGCTCGCCTTTCTCGTCGACATCCTCCTCTTCGTGCCCCATCTCAAATGGGGCGGCTGGATCGTCCTCGCTGCTACCGTCATCCTCACCACCTGCGGCATCCTCACCTGTGCGATGCGCCGCACCCTCGTCAGCCGCAAGGCCCGCAAGCGCCGTATCGCTGAGAACGCGGAGATGAACGGTGAGAACTTCTACAACCGCCAGAACTCCTACAAGATGGATCCGCCTTCTACCGTCAATGTCGAGGCCAAGGAGGATGCCTTGTCCACTGTTCCAACCGCAGAGACCGTTGCCACCTTCGCGCGGTTTGAGTCTGAATCTCGGCCTCGAGACGGTGATAGCAGGCGGATGCGCCCTCGCGCTCCTCCTCCTCCCGCCAGCAACGAGCGGTACTGGGCACCCAGCGAGACTGACATAGGAACCATGGAGCCGCCCGAGACTCCTGCAAACCAGGACGGACCTTATAGCCATTTCGCCCCGCCGCGAAGACAGCCATCTAAAAACACCATGGCCAACAACTATTATGGAGGGCCTAACCATGGATACGGTGGCCGTGGCAGAAGCAACCCGTCCATGAGGAGAGACGGTCGCGGTGGTAGAGGCGACAGAGCTGGCCGGGGGCATCCTTATCGAGATCCTCCTCCGCCTGGCTATCGCCCGGAAAGGAACCCTTCGCGGGGACGAGACTATCCCCCAGGTCCCGGTGACCACGGTCCTTATCCTAACAGATCTCGTTCGGGCCGTGGCAGACGTGGCGGACCTAGTCCTGGTCCACCGCGTCGTCCGCGCAGAGACGACGACGCCATGTATGGAGCTGCCCCGGCCGCCGGCGGTTTGGGCGGCCGAGATATAGAAATGGAACGTTCACGAGGGGATGCATACACTTCAACCATCACCCAGTCGGAAATCTCCAACCTCTCGTATGTATAACAGACGAAACTCGCCCCTTTTTGACATTCCTTCTTCCTCCAGCGAAACCAACACAAACCCAAAACACACAAAAAGTAAACATGAGATCTCCCTTTTTCTTTTGCTGACTTCGTCGATCATCCTCAGCGCATTCATCCCAGCGAGAAGCGGCTGGACCAAAAATGATCAGCCTCTCTCCCCCATCGACGCCCGTGGCTCCCCAAGCCCCCTTGGTGCTACCAATGCACAACCCAGAGATATGACCCGATCCCCTCCCCGGGCTGCTCCTCACCCTACCAACACCTACTACGAAGATGTAGAGACTCGCTTCACCAACACCTCGAATCCCGATCCCGCCTTTATACCGTCTGCCCTAACCCCGGGCAGCATTGCCCCAGAACCTGACCAGAGGACTTCTGTCGATGCCGTGCATGGCATGCGCTCTCCTGTCAGCGACATTAGCCACTTCACCTCCATCTCCCAGCGCGGAATCAACCCCAAGTGGCAGCCGCCGGAGTGGGACAACCCCCGAGAAAAGGTGCAGAAGCAGCGTGAGGCGCTTCTGGTCAATAACCCTGACTTCCAGCTTTCCACTGATGTAGGCCGGTCCAACTCTGCAAGACGCGGTGGCAGGATGCCCCAGGTCCCGGCAATGCCACCGATGCCTGCTATACCACCAGTCTACACGCGCAGCTAAACAAACAGCTGGTCTGGGTTTCAATACTTTTTGCTTCTCTCTATTCTCTTGTTATTCATATGTCATGCGTTCCAGGGCCGCAGAGTATCTTTTATTGACAACATCCCTTTCTTTCTCTTTTGAACCATTGCTTTCACCTGTACATTCTTCTTGTTGTGTATGTATGTTGACACCTTATGGGTATGCTTCTTTTCTCTTCTTCTCTTTCTCCTTCTGTTTCTTCTTTTATTTCTTCTTCTCTTTCCTCTTCTCTTTCTTCATCTCTTTCTTCATCTTTATTTTCAACAGCCATTGTCTTGATGGCTTCTTTGAACAAGGCTGGGACTAGGTGTTTGGAGTTTCTAGGCTAATAACGGTTGCCAGGATCTGTACACTGGCCATAAGAGGGTATAACGGATATGAATAACCTTGTTAAGTCATCGATTTTGGCATCTTGTATCTACACTATGTATATATCCTTATTTTAAATATGATCCTTTCAAATATTGTGGTAAATGTCCTTTATAGAATCAAATATGCAAATTGCGTGTGACGCGAATTAGGGATTTTTTTTCTCCTTTATCTATAAATTTGAATGCTGCTTCTGTCAAAAACATATCATTCTTTCTTTTACCTCCGATCATCACCCTTCCCCAGAGAATCCAATTGATGTTTCAGTCCACCGGTAGTGGCAGCTGGGAGCAAAATGGTAAGATTGCAGCTTAGGTTTTAAGGGCTGTATATTATATATATTGGCAGATGTGCCATGCTAACTGGAAATTTCTAACAGCTTCGCAGAAGGATGATTAAAAAGGCTATTCAGATACATGGTAAGATCGAAGAAAAAAGCAAACCATCTTTAGAAGAAGCGATATCTGAAGAACTCGACTAATATCTCTCAGAGGCCAGATCAGAAGCTATAGCCAAATCAGATATCGGCCAAGAAGCCGAAACAGACACCAAACGGCGAGTGGAATGTGGAATAGACATCATGGAAGCCGGAACCAGGCCAGAACCTAGGCCAAAAACACAATCAGCGACTGAACCAAAACCTGATCCCAAGGACAAGCCGGAATTCAAAACAGAACCCACCACTTCCGACCTCGAGGATATGCACATTCAGGGAGAGCTGACGGAGCACCTGAAGCTTGTCGAACCCGGCCAAGCTAAGGAAACCCCATCTGTCAACCCTTTGATCGAGCAAATGAAGACAACTCCACTGTTTTCTTCTCAAATCAAGGGTGTTGTTCACCCTGCTCTCCTAGGTGCCAGCACGATGGATTTATTGTTTCCTCAGTACGGTTTGCTCGGGCTCCGGCTCGCTAGCTACACGCCCGGTAGTGACGAAGAAATTGCTGGCATTGGAGGAGCAAAGAAAAATCTGGTATACGCTAACATCAACGCTCCCTGGTCAACATTCATTTGCGGAAGTCAGGGCAGCGGCAAAAGTCATACACTTTCCTGTATGCTGGAAAATTCGTTGTTGCTACCATCACAGACCGGCAAGGTCTCGAATCAGTTGACTGGTCTAGTGCTTCACTATGACAAGTTCACCAGTTTGGACACGGGCCAGCTTTGCGAAGCAGCATATCTGTGTTCTGTAGGTATACCAGTACGGGTTTTGGTATCACCGAGCAATCTGCAACGAATGACCCAGCTGTACTCAAACCTGCCGGGTTTGCCCAGTGGCTGTCCCAGGCCAAAAGTGGAGCCGATGCTCTTCAACGAAGACCACCTTAGTATTGGAATGATGAAATCGTTAATGGCTATTAGCGATTCTGAAGGCACACCATTATACATGGAGGTAGGGCTTTCATTCCTCGGAACCCCGGATTAGGGAGACCTGCTAACCTACCTACCTAAGATGGTGACCAAGATTCTTCGAGATATGGCAAAGGAGTCCAATGGCAAGCGGGGCATCGATTTTCAGGACTTTGAAACAAGAATCCGAGAGAAATCAACGCTAAGAGGCCAATGTACGGCGCTTAACATGCGTCTAGACCTTCTCCGCTCTTTTCTTGAAGTTAGACTCTCTAGGAAAGGCAAACCCATATCTCGGAAAGGTGATATCTGGAGCTTTGAGAAGGGTAGCCTAACCATCATCGACTTGAGCTGCCCGTTTGTGGACGAGAACGACGCGTGTGCATTGTTTAATATCTGCATAGGTATATTCCTTGAGGGCCGTGGAAAAGGAGGCCGTGTGATTGCCCTTGACGAGGCTCATAAAGTACGCCAACCCACATGTTTCTGCACTACCTTTCAGACCATACATGGGACGTTGGCTGACATGGACGAATAGTATCTGACAACCAAGAGCCGCGAGGCAGTGACTTTGACAGAAACTATGCTATCTCTGATTAGACAACAGCGCCATCTTGCCACAAGAGTTATCATTGCAACTCAGGAGCCAACGCTGTCCCCAAACCTCCTGGATCTCTGCAATCTTACTGTTGTACACCGATTCAGCTCCCCGGCCTGGTTCAAGGCATTAGAAGGGCATCTTGCAGGAGCCATTATGGACGTCAGCGCATCTCGTGCCTCTAAGTACAGTACCGGGAGTCTCTTTTCCCGTATTGTTGGCCTGGGAACAGGGGAAGCTTTGGTGTTCTGTCCCAGTGCCATATTGGACGTCAGCCACGCCAACAATGCAGAGCTAGGGGGCGATTCCTCAACCCATCAAGCTGCCCAGTCTATCATGGCCGAGCAGGGTTCATCGTACTTCAAGATGAAGGTGCGCAAACGGATAACGGCAGATGGTGGACGCAGTATTCTTGCTCAGTAAAGGGACAACTGCTGCTAGCCATCATCCATCACCCCACAGTTTCTTTCATTCTCCTTTTCCTTTCTTGGCTATCCGTTTGCCATCCTATGACATGTCATTCTGTAGAGACAACCAGAGACAGATCAATGACCTCTTTGTTATCTTCTTCTTCTTCTTCTTCTTCTTCTTCTTCTTTCACTTCGTCTTCGACTGTTGTTTCTATCAAGAAGTAAAAATGAGGTTGGAAAAAGAGTGAGCACGTGATATTACCTTAGTCATCAACACATGACTCGGTCAAAAGACTAAAAAGCCAAACCTTAAAAAGCAAGGAAGTAAAAAAAAAAAACACCAGAAAAAGCGACACCAACAGGAGAAAAAAAAGATCAAGCCGTGGGAGGATGAACCAATAGCACGCCAGGAGCAGAGAAAGATGAACTTCTGGATGACGAGGAGAGATGAAACGTGAGATTCCGGGGTTGACGCAGGGTGGGATCCCGCCTGTCCGCCCGCCACACCGGGATCCCGCAGCGCCGCAGAACCTGACACCAGGTCGGGGTGTGTTTCTAGTATGTCACTGCGGCTGCCGTGTGCACATCTGACGGTGGCTGTGGTTACACCGTTTTGGAGGCAGATGTTTCCTCGGCTTTGAATTGGCCCAGTAGCACCCCTCCCACGTATACCCGGCCTATTCGCATGATACGATATATCGAGGGCTGATGCTTTCGCTATCATGTTACTCCCGCTCACGCTATATCAAGCGTCCTCCATGAGGCCCCTTTCTGGTATAAGAAGTTGCCTCTTAAGTCCGAGAATGGTGTCATCCGTAGACCCTGGCTTCTTCGTGATGGCAGATCGATGAGATCCCCCCTGTCTTCTTCTGCCCTTTGCAAGGCATACACCGCTCCATGAGGGTGTATAACTCCCCTAAATGACCAAGACGTCTTCACCTCTTGGGTAGTTGAAGGAATGGATGTTGAAGGGCTCATCAGACATACCATCCACATATGCCGTCGTTCGTCGTTTGTTTCCCGCTCAAAGAGCATTCCTCGTCTCCACAGAAATTTCCGGAATGTGATACCACTGCAACCACTTCGCCGTTTGACGGTCAGTGGACTTGTTTCTAAGGGCTATTTACCTATTCTTGTCCCAGCTCATGGCAAAAGCCGCCCTCTTTCCTCCCACGTCACCTTACCGCCAATAGAGTTACTCTGGCTTTGATGACCTGAGTAAAAATAATATCATCCTCAGGGGTCATCTTTAGTGCATGGTTCGCCGTTCATACACCCCCAACTCGAAGGAAGAAACTCTGGTTCCCATGGCACATGGCCTTGCGTTTGCCGTAGCCATCATGGATATGATTGAAATATATAACACATCTCCATCTCAGCGTTCTCAATTTCGTACTAGAAATCTAACAGCTTTTCTTACTACATCGTCTTGACACTCATCGTCCTACCTGCTGGTTAGGTTTTCTTTTTAACACTCCTTTTTCAATGTCTTCCGTGAAGAATATCCTCTCCTTCGTGGCCCTGTTCGCAGGTGTCAAGACGGCATATGCCGGTCTGAATTCTCCAGGCCATAACAATGTCGCTATATACTGGGGTTTGTACCTTCTATCGCCGGAAACATAAAGCTACTTTTTTCCAGGCAGGCCTCCATTTCATCTGCACAGCAACATGCTGACGCGAGTATTCGTGGTTAGGACAGAATTCCTTGAATCAAGGAAATGGAACACAAGCACAGCAGCGATTGAGCTACTACTGCGAAAGCAAGTTATCCTCTTACTTTTATTTACTGTCATTTTTATTAAACTTAAACACTCGCTAACAGACAATAACAGGCGCGGATGTTGACGTATGTTTGCCGGCCGTACCCTATTGATGCGGCTGCGACCAACAACTCCATACTTTGTGCTTGTTTTGCTAACTAATAATGGACTAAAGGTAATTCCGCTTGCCTTTGCCGTATCGATCAAAGGTCCGGGAGGAGTCCCACAAATCAACTTCTCCAACCAGGGTGACCCCTGCAAGCCATTCCCAGGAACCGACCTTTTGCACTGTCCACAAATTGGGTATAGCATCACCTCTATACATTTGACACATATCATTAAGGGGTATGCAGGCTAATAAGAAAAATAGCGAGGATATCAAGACCTGCCAGAAGAAAGGAAAGACCATTCTTCTATCTATTGGCGGAGCGACATACAGTGAAGGTGGCTTCCGTTCTGCCGAGGATGCCGTCGCTGGCGCCAACCTGTTGTGGGATACATTTGGACCGGTAAAGTCGTCGAACTCCTCCGTTCTTCGCCCGTTTGACGATGCAGTGATCGATGGATTTGACCTCGACTTTGAAGCCACCGTATTGAACATGGTCCCTTTTGCCAAGCAGCTTCGCACTTTGTATGATGCTGAGAAATCCAAGACCTTCTACCTGACTGCTGCTCCTCAATGCCCTTACCCAGATCTCTATAATAAGGAGATGCTAGAAGGAGGTGTCAAATTCGATGCGCTCTTCATTCAGTTCTACAACAATTTCTGCGGCCTCAATAACTTCGTCCTCGGCTCCCAGTCACAAGACAAGTTTAACTTCGCGGAATGGGACAACTTTGCTAAAAAGGTGTCTGCAAACCCAGATGTCAAAATCATGGTTGGCGCTCCTGCAAACAAGGGGGCCGCGAGCTCCGGATATATCGATGCTCAAACCCTCGTCAGCGTCATCAACTGGAGTAAAACCTTCTCCAGCTTTGGCGGAGTCATGATGTGGGACGCCAGCCAGGCTTGGGCCAATGGCAACTTCACTTCGGCAGTAAAGGGTGCTTTGAGTGCAGGGAACTCCCGCGTTGTTCGCATGTCATACGCCGGTTATCACTCCGGATACTGAAATTAACCCCAGGCATATTTGAGCTAGCATCGCGACGGATTCGGTCAGTGGACGGACCCGTACGGAGTAAGCGGATCCAAGAGGACCCCTCGCGCTGAATGAGCACGAGTACAGGGGGCATGTATGTCATTGGCTTCGGATGTGTTTTTTTCTTTTTCTTTTTCCTCGCTTCAAGCTGTCAGCATTGTATATTTGTTTTTTCATTGTCCATTTTTCCGTCAAATCCATCTGGGTAACTATTATTACCTTGCTGTCGTTAACTAGTTCCTTTGTTGTATATACTATCTTCCTACCCAGGTCACACCCTTTTGTTATACCCTGACGTATTAACTTCTACCGAATCTCCTTGGATAACTGCTCGATGGCAGATTGCATGTCCTTGGGTTATTTCTCCCATATTACGGAGTAGTTAACTAGTTTTCGCTTTCTCCGTATAATCGAACTAATTAGTGATGCGCCCATGAACGCCATGGCAACCCACTATCAAGCCTCGGTAGCGGTGGAAACAGGCCATATCCGCCGTCCTTAGCTGGGGACAAAAAAAGAAAATGATATTTGATTGATACCGTACGGAATACTCCATACAGAATGGTTACAGGGGGCCGGACTTGTAACGTAGGACTTTGTTACTCCATATCGTGATCAATCTCAAGGCCTGGGACGAAAGCGCCACAATATGCGAGCTTTTGTCTAATTAACTAGTTAGTTAATGGAGTGACAATCCATCATTGTTCGCTCTACTTAATTACTGCACTGCTATACCCTCCTTTAAGGACTTCTCTTTGAAGAACCCCTCGATGTCAAACTGTGGGCCTCCCTGTGCCTTAGTTACGGCGACGGTCAAATAGGAAAATACACCGGAAGCCCCAATCCATTTGATGTAAACAAGATATAAACAGTTGTTCACTATTCATTCTAACTGTAACCAGTTAGTAAAATATACAAGGGTCCTCACCTCCGCTGTGTCCTTGTGGCTTGGTAAACAAGAAAAAAAGGCCTTATAAAGCCTGCCGGGGAACTCTATAGAGAAGAGTTAGCTGGACTGGAACAACATAAATAGCCAGTCCTTCTTCGCCCTGGCGCCAGGGGGAAAGAATGAAATTCACGATCGGAAAGCTATATACTCCTATACCCTATACTCTATACCCATTAGTTATATAGAGCATACTTACTTCAGGAATATATATATATACCACCATGCCGCCTCCAAAGGATATCCCGAACCCTGCTGAGGATCCCGGTAAGCTCTAGCATCCCACATAACTAGCGCTAGCGCCCTCAGTTCCGTGTTGGCTCTTGTCTCCTAATAATAATAATAATAATGCGCAGGGGACTATACCATAACCAGCGACGTACATAGCGACACATACCCCGAAATCGACCCGAAAAAGCAAGACTTTACAGGCAGAGTAATTTTCATTACTGGCGCTTCGGGGGCTCTTGGCCGAGCCGCAGCCTTGTCTTTTGCCAAAGCCGGTGCATCTAAAATTGCCCTTGCCGCCCGTGCCGACCTGACCCAGGTATGCAAGGAGGTTGAAGCTGCAGCAGAATCTGCCGGTCGAAACAAACCAACGGTCCTGACCCTGTACATAGACGTGAAGGATGAAAAGAGCGTGGCAGCAGCAGCCGCCCGAGTAGAGGAGGAATTCAAATTCTGTGATGTGGTCATCAACTACGCTGGAGTAGCTGGCATCCTCGGCAAGGTAGCAGACACAGATACGGCTGAGTGGTGGGACATGTTCCAGATAAACCTTTACGGGTCTTATCTCGTCGCTCGGTCGTTTCTTCCGCTGCTGGCAAAAGGCGGCGATTCTCGATATCTCATCTTGGTTGGCAGCGTCTGCGCCCACTTTGCCATCCCCGGTGTCAGTTCCTACCATATTTCGAAGCTGGGTGTCATTCGGTTGGCGGAGTGCATCAATGCTGAATACGCGGAGGAGGGCATCACTTGTATCGGCATCCACCCTGGGAACGTCTTCACCAAGCTGGTCCGTGGGATATTCGATAAAATGCCACCTGAGCTTAAGCACGGTAAGCCCCTCGTCCACCCTGAGGCCTATGCATAACTAGTCAACTAGCTGACTCGACTGTCATCGCGTAGTATTCACCGAAACCCCCGAGCTCAGCGGCGATGCCCTCACCTACATAACGTCAGAGAAGCGTGAGTGGCTCGGTGGTCGATACGTGAACATGGTCTGGGACATGCCAGAGCTCATGTCGAACGAGGAGGAGATTGTCGACAACGAGAAGCTCTTTTTCCGCCTGAAGTGCTAGGCTCTGTATACACACATCTAGGTATAGTTCAATAGACGATGGAGTGGAGGATGAAATTGCCGATGAACCTGATGCTGTCTTTTCCTTTCGCCTGACGTCGTCACGGCGTTTAACTTGCTAGTTATTTCGTTTAGTTGTCTTAAGTTAGCCGACTCGTCAATCGCTTAGTTAACTCGTTAGTGAGTTTCCCAGAAAGGCTAAACAAGCTTAAAAGATCCCGTGTTTGCTCCACCGCTAAGGATACGTTAAATTGCACCTCACTTCATATAAACACGCAGACATCCGCCGTTCACGCCTTGCTCGGGACAGCTGGAGGCCCCTAGCTTGTCCACCATTCGTAACTAAGTTAGCCAGAGGAAGTGCTGCGTATGCAGAGTGCCCTGCTGTGCAACGAAACGAACCTGCGGCTGCGGCTGAAGACATGGATGAGCGCGGTAAGGGTAAGGCGCCCAACCCCAGCGTCGACGAGGTGCCCTGTCTTCTGCCGACGAGATGGTGGTTTGCCAGCACGGCATTTCCCCTGCTAGCCGTGAGTCCGTATCATTTCCGTTGCCTTGATGGCTCTCGCTTAGCTGAAGATGACTGTGTCCAGGGAACGCTGGGCCCTATGGCAAATGCATTCAGCATCTGCTCACTCTCCCAGGACTGGAGGGCAGAGCTGGGAACCGTTGGAACCGGAAACCTTCCAAAGACCGTCAAAGACCCGTCATGGTTGTTCATCACTCGCTTAATCTGAGTCAGGATCCTTGAACAGAGAGTTGTTCTCATGCTAAAGCTCCTGCTCTAGGGCGATCACGATTAACTCCGTCTCCCTCGGTTTTGCCTTGATATCAAATTTGTCTCTTCTGCTGAATATGGCTCGAAGAGTCCGGTTCTCCGTCAGCCAGCCCATCACTATTGGCGGCTGGTATATCGCCTCGGCCCTTTTAGTGGGCCTCACCGTCGCGGTGCCTCGGGTGACGGACTTGCACGGTAGACAGCTGACCCAGGCCTACTACTATGCCATCATGGCGGCTGCCATCTACTTCTTTGTCTCCTCTCTCCTACTGGTTACCGTCTATGGCGCGAACACTGGACGCTACAGCAAACACTTCCACCTCACCACCAGCCAGCGGTCGCTGATGTTGCAGACTATTCTCTACATGATGTACCTCCTGATCGGGGCGGCCATATTTTCTCGCGTTGAGAACTGGAGCTACCTGGATGCTCTATACTGGGCCGATTTTACCCTTCTTACCAATGGAATTGGAGATCTCGCTCCAGCCACACACCTTGGTCGAAGCCTTCTGTTCCCATTTGCCGTTGGAGGAATTCTAACTCTTGGTCTTGTTGTTATGTCTATCCGGTCGATGATGATCGAAAGAGCGAGGACACAGCTTACTGCAAGAACAACAGAAAAGACGAGGAAACTGGTTACCGAGCAACTGCAATCGGGAGATATAAAGAAGCGAATGCTTCAGCCGCTGGCGAATCAAGATAACTCATTGTCAGACAAAGAACTGCAACAAGAAGAGTTCCAGTTGATGCACCGTATACACAAGACCTGTGCCTGGCAGCTGCGGTGGCTTTCTCTCCTAATTTCAGCTTTCGCATGGGCAATTCTTTGGCTGGTTGGGTCGGTTGCATTCTGGCTGGCAGAACGAGATGCTGGCTGGACGTATTTCACCTCTCTATACTTCGCCTACGTGAATCTCCTTACAATTGGTTATGGTGATGTTGTCCTTGGCCAGTCATGGGGAAAGCCATTCTTTGTTCTATGGTCACTTCTCGCTGTCCCGACCACCACCATCTTAATCTCAAGTATGGGTGATACTGTTGCAAAACTATTCCACGATGCCACAATTTTTGCAGGAGATTTAACTCTGTTCCCTCACGAGACTGGTATCAAAAATAGGCTGTTCTCCTTCATACATGGCATGGTTGAATCGCTGCGCCATCGTGGACGTCACACGGAGTATATTAGCGGGCAGCCTATCAGTGATCATCCTCACACATACCACTCAGCTTCGATGGAGAACCTGACTCCACAACACTCGGAATATCAGGATGTAGGTCTGTCTTCTCAAAGATGGTGTGCAATAGTACATGAACTTGGGAAGATTTACAATGATCTCTCATGTGATCCGCCAAAACATTACTCTCACGACGAATGGTGCTATTTCCTCGGTCTTATAGGGCGCGCTGAGGGATGCTGCCCTTTTTCCCAGATACCTCCCACAGATGCGGAATTATCCAATGCGGAAAGGGCTCGCCGTCTATTAGAGAGGCCGCCGGCCCTTGGTTTCAGAGAAAAATGGAGTTGGGTCGGCGCTAAAAGCCCTCTTACAGGGGACCGAAACGAAGCTAGGTGGCTATTTGAAGCTCTATTATTTACCTTAGAGGAGGAGGTAAAATCCCAATGCAACTCTTCCTATGAAAAATCAAATACTTGATACTTTCTAGTACAAGTGAGCATTCATTGCAGGGATGTGCGACTATGGTCTAAAAATAGTGAATGGGGAGGCCTTCTTGAACCACCTATCTTCACAATGAATCCTTTCTAGACACCCTAATATACCTGGATAGACCCGGATCTCCCACATTACAAGAATCTGACAAGCCTAATCACTCTATTTGGCCATTTGATGTTTTAAAGCCCGGCGCTCACAGCATCAATAAGGGAGTATACCTTGTCAGCATCATAGCACAGAGAGTATACAAGTGCATCACAGCTTTGGCTATACTGTCCTATTTCTTTTATACTAGATTGATCTATTCTAGTCTTATTGAGCGTTAGTTTGCCTGCCAGAGACCCCATCTACTAGGAGGCAAGGTTCTGGCTCTCTTGCGAGTCTCTGAACATGAGAGAGGCGAACAACAAGTCCGAACTCCTGCCTCCCTTTCTTATATCTTCTCTGGTTATTGTGATTATCCTTATCGCTCTCCTCTGGTTCAAGCATTTATATAAGATATCTGCGAGTCGTGGCCCTCTTATTAATACTGAGGAAGAATCCCCCTTCAATCCCCAGCCGCAAACCCCCCAACAAGAACCAATCCCATCATCTCCGGCTAATACTGCTGGTACATCGACTACAGAATTGCGAATACAGCGTTTGATCCGAAAAAAGAAACCAGGGTCAAGCTTAGCACCGTCCTCCACCAGTTTTAGCCAGGACCTAGGATATCGTAGGCAGAGCTGTGAAACTATGCATAAGTTTCCTGATTCGCCTGTAGTGTCTCAAGATGAACTACAAGATTTTGGAGCTTCAAATTCCGTTCCATCTGGCACTTCAACGTTGTTTCCGTCAAGCTCTGGTGGTCGTAGTGGCAATGACTATAGGACACAGCAATCAATACCCTTACGGGAGCTGACTAGAGACCAGACTCATAGTAAGTTCTTTATCTCCTTTATTTAGCCTGTTGAGACAAAGAAACGATCTTTTTCGAATAATCGTAAACAAAAGTACTGAATCACCGCGTCCCTCTAGAATTGAACAATCCACATCCATACTACGGCCACAAAGGGGAGTCCTATCAACAAAATAATCCCTATGGAAGGTATGCCTGCCGTCAAGATGAATTTTATCGAAACAACTCTACACCGACGGGCCCTTTTGGAACGGTGGGGTCAGATACGGTACGTGAAACTGAGAGTAGCTCTCGGGATTTTAGCTCTACCGGTAGCACCCACCAGTTAAGGGAGGAACATATGCGTAGCTCTCCAGAGCGGTCAAAATATACCCACCCTAGTTATGAGCGAAGAGAGTCACGGAGTCCACCACGGTCGGGTGAAGGAGAATCTTTCCACTCTTCTCTCCGGCCTGATCCCCTATGTATCCACAAGGCGCGGTCAAGCCCATTGCCCTCGATTTCCCCCAGCGATAGATATACCTGTGGAATGGCCCAACCAGAAAGCTCAAAAGATGCGAGTCAAAGGAGTGCCAGGTATGATTTCAAAAGCAGATCTTCTCTCGAGTACCGTCATCCGCGCCAAGACTGGCTTTCCCAGGCCCAAGTAGGCTCAGTGCGAAACGACTCCAAATGGAGACAAAAGGAGGCAATAACTAGGGGCGAAGATGGGCTACGGACATTCGAAGGTTCTAGAACGTTCAGCATCGAACGATCGCGAAGTCACCGTAAGTAAAATTGAGTCCTCCTTTACCCTGGGTGGCTTAGGAAACAAGATACTAATATTTCTTTACGTTATTAGCCTTTGGAAAGCAACACAACCGAGACAACACACAGATATCCAGCACAAGTGCCACTCGTCACGATAATCCTGGGACTGCTGAAAGACCCGAAGAACCTTATCCAATATCAGCCGGCCAGACCCCAGTTGCTTATGGATTACCCCCTGGCAGCGCACGCCCCCTCGCAGAGTTTGTCAATGACACAGATGAGAATAAGGTGGAGAGGAAGCTGAATCTCTTAGACTTGGTATCGCAACTAAGGGATCGAGATGTCTAGGATAAGAGACAGTATGGAGATAGGCATTTCTCTAGCCTTATCCCACACCAACGTCACCTACATAACACCTTGTTTGTCTACTCAACCGAAGAGAACTTGGGGTGCAGATTGCTATTCAGTTAGTTCAATTGTCACTTTTGCTGAATACTAGGAATAAGGACAGGTATACCTAAGTATGCTGCCTAGCCAGGACTGGTTGGTCGAAGGGGCGGTTGGTCACCATATCACGAAAAGTGGCTCCCACCCATGACCAATAGAGAGTGCATAGGTGTTGTCAAGTCGATCACCCCAGGTAGATTTATCCACGATGCAATTTTGTACTCGGGGCTATACACGTTGCTAATAGCCGATACTCCACCCAAGATAGACGGCTCCATACAAGTCGATTACGGCGAGACGCCCGTCTTCACTAACACTAAAATTTCCAGAACTGATGTCTAGAAAGCAGCAGACCACGAGCTTTCTGGGCAGCCTCCTCAATCGGAGTTCGAATTACTCCCGTTTCAGGTATTGCACATACACATTAACTATGATATCTTCAAAAATATACAAAGCAGATAAATTTGTGCGAGTTCTTTTCTAGTCATACCAAATTTAGATGCTGTTAATATTGATCCGTATTTCGATAGCGACGAGAAGCGTCCGCCGTATTTCAAGTATCTGCGAGCGGGAAGATCGGCTCCATATCCCACAAACTTCTGACAGATTTTTTTGGCTCAGCTGGGGAGGAGCAGAATGAAATCGCCATGTCGCGGGAGCAGATGTCTCGTTTTCGCGCATCCAAGTGTTAACTGTGATTTGCTGAACTCTAGCGGCTAGAGACTTTGGCTTCCCGTGTCTGAGAGTTTAATCCAATAATATCACGAGTCTCGCCGTTAGCTCCCGGGATGAGGCTTGGCGTGCCAATCAAATAAACTGTCCGCTCTGCTGCCCCGTATTGACAACGCGAGCTCATGTGCTCTACGCTGTGTCCTCAGTTCTTTGTGCTCTGCATGTTTGTCTCCACAGGAAGCCCGGCCCCAGAATGTACTTTGAATTGCATATTTCTTGTAACCCTTGCAAAAGCCACTCTACATGGATCTATGTTCTTACGTGGCCCAAGGTGAAAGTATTACAAGGATCATCAATGTTATCTCCTCCAAGTATGAGCCAGGCACCCCCTCTATTGACTAATTTCAAAAAAGTATCCATATTAAATGGGTTCATGTTCCTCTATAATTGCAACAGTACTCCGTAACTATTGACCATTTGCCCAATTGTGACACCACTTGAGTGTCTAATTATACATAAGCCTCTTTGGTTGAAAGATGGATACTCCACAAGCACAACACGAAAAGCGCGAAGCAACTCAGGACGAAGTGGCTAATCTACAGCATGTGGCTGACTCGGTACCAGCTGTTGTTTGGGTAGCCCTCGTAGCGGGTGCAGCAGAACGATTTACATTCTACGCTGCAACAACTCCATGGCGTAAGTGTCAAGATAGCTATCAGGCTGTAAATTCAGCTAGTTCCTAACCTCACCCTATGTAGAAAACTATATACAAAATGGCCGCGGCAATCTTGCTGTCCCGGGTTCTTTAGGACTTGGTCAAGCAACCGCGACAAATATTTCCAATGCATTTTTTTTCTTCTCGTTTTTGTCGCCTTTGCCATTTGCCATTCTCTCAGATGTATGGCTAGGGCGTTACAAGACGTTATGTCTAAGCTTCTCGTCGGTGCCCCTTATACCCCACATACTGATTAAGGCTAACTGGTTATATAGCCTTAATATTTGCGGGTGCTTAGCGCTTTTTGTTACTTCTCTTCCATATGTGACAAACGATTCCATCAAAATTGCCGGATTAGTAATATCCATGGTTTTTCTGGGACTTGGGACAGGCGGTGTTAGAGCCACCGTGTCTCCATTTATAGGTATATAATTTGATATGTCTTCTTGAGAGTTCATGAAAGCTAACCTCTCTTCAAACAGGTGATCAATACACTGTTTTGACTCCGCAACTGGTAGTCACAAAACAGGGTAAAAGTTTTGTCACGGATAGAACATTGACTCTTCAGTATATATACAATGTTTTCTACTGGTGAGAGACAATATAGGCTGCAGGAGCATATATCTTGCTAATGATTATTATTATAAGGTTCACCAATATTGCTAGCCTCTCACTGATTGCTTCTACCTATTTGGAGAAAGAAGTTGGCTTCTGGGCTGCTTACCTCCTTCCATTGAGTACGGTTTGGATGTTAATTCCACTGATGCTATTTTGGCAGAAAGAATTCGGTACGTTGTGAGTATAGTTACCCCCTGCCTAGCATCCTGTTGATAATGAAAAGTCAAGCTCTCGCCGCAGGGGAATGTTTTACCGCAGGCGGCAAAAGTCATTGCGTGTGCAATTCGGGGACGCTTTCAATTAGATGCAGCAAAACCAGCATATCAGGCGGCAACGTATGGTAGGGAAGTTGAGTGGACCGATCAGTTCGTCTCTGAGATGAAAAAGGGCCTCATAGCCTGTAAAGTAATGTGCGTTATTTCGCAGGCCTTATCTATTCAGCCGGTTACTTGCTAAGATCTTGTGGCAGGGCTTGCTTTGTACCATTTTACTTGTGTACTAGTCAGCTCACGAACAACTTGATCTCTCAAGCTGGTCAGACGAGGCTGGGCGGGATTCCAAATGACACGATTCAGGCACTCAATTCCATCGCTTGCGTTCTGTTAGGCCCGCTTATACAAAAGATACTTTATCCGGCGCTTCAAAGGTATGGAATCGCATTCAAACCAATTGCACGGATGACCTCCGCGTTTGTCATTATGAGCACCGCGATGGCTTTTACCGCCGGGCTGCAGAAATTGATTTATACGAGAGGGCCATGCTACGATCAACCGCTCTCTTGTCCAGACTCGAAGGACGGCCGCATACCCAATGACATCAGCGTCTGGACGCAAACACCTGTTTATTTCTTGCTGGCAGGCGCAGAGATACTAGGGTTTGCAA